TTAATCTCTTTGTTTTTGCAAAAAAATACAAGTATAGAACACAGGCAAGACATTATTTTTGTTTCATTCTTTGTTCCCCAAAATCAGGTGGAAATGGAGAATGGCAAGTAAGTCTCCACTACCTAGAGGCAGAAAATAGGCTTAAGATTGCCAGTTTATAGCCTAAATATTCCTGCACTTAAACTATAATGGAGGACAATCTAGAGGACTGATGTTTAGTTGAACTGGTGCTATTTGCTCAGATGCAGAAGAAACAAGAAACTGTTTTAACCTCCCATTCACACTAAAAAATAAAAGACAGCATGCACATCAGCAAACTTCACCATGGAACTCTTACCAGTTTTCTTGTACCAGCAATCTCCTAGGCAACTTGTGCAATGAAATGAAAGTAGGAGTACATTTTTGAGTTCTGACCTCTGTGACAACTGGTAGGTAACACTGGGGAGAAAAAAAATATGCCAAAACTTGTGTGAATCTCAACACTGGAATGAATTTAACTGCAAGTTAATTTCTTCTATATTATAGACCAGAGATTACCTGTATGACTAGCCATGCAGGAGGAGTTGCTTAGAAGTGGCACACAAGAATTCAACCGTCTCGTCCAGGCAAAGGAAATAGCAGCTGCAGACGCAGCAACTTCTGATCCCAGTTGCCTGAACTTCTTGCCCCGCCCCTCGTGAATGGTCAGAAAAAGCTGGTATACCTGTGCCTGTACAGGCCAACATGACTGAGTTATGGAAAAGGTATCTTGCAAAACTAAGCTACTTTAGAAACCATCTTTTATATCTGCTTGAATGCGTTGACTTACCTTACATAAAGATGCTGTTTTACAACACTAAGCGGCTGGCAAGGATAATTTACATAAAATGGTCACTACTCCTAATAAAATACATGACTAAACTTTCTACACTGAAGTGTGATGTTCTCTGCATGTTAATTTAGCTTTAGTTCAGCCTTAAGTACAATGCTAAGAAATACTTTATTGTTGCTGCAGTTTTCACAAATTCATTTGTCAGTTAGGAAAGATTAATACTATGCATGCAGCTTGTAGAGAACATAATTTCTAATAGAGGACATTTTCAGCCCCCTATAAGTTTAGTCATAGAAAAAAAAAGGCAATATTCAATCCTATCTGTGTTCTGGTGGTGGGGTAGCTATTGGCTACAATGACATAACAAACCTAACACTTGTCATAGCTAAAAATACAACCCATGGAGTAGTTGAGAGGATAGATCCTTGGGGGCATTACTCCAGTTGTGTATTTTGTGCAAATTTAGTATAGATTTTTTTCTTCTCTGTCTTCAGTGTTGGTTTTGTATGTTTTTATAATATGCTAAAATGCCAGAATCAGATATTAAACAGTTAAACTATAACAAAAGTATTCAGGTATCAAAGGTCTCTAGCTTCTGGCTTTTTATTTTAGCCAGCTAATCCTGTATTGTATGTGCTTGAATAAGTGCACACATAAGCAGGTTTAATAGTTTAAATTATACTACATTGAAGAGTAGTCTTCTGTTGGAACAGACTAAAGCGTTGAAAGAAAAAGCAATTTACTGTACAAGTTCTGAGCATTTATCGTTAGAATTTGCTGTAGAAAAGGAAAAATTTAACACTACAAAAGTGTTAAGGAAAAAAAAAAAAGTACCGCAGTACACCAAAAATTAAAATTTAGTGATATCTTTTCCTCTGGTTTATACTACACAGTAAACTAAGCACCACTTACAAACTCTACCAACTAAATCGTGCTACACATGTATAATGAAAACTGTAACTGCAGTACACTATCACCAAGGCTGTTTTTTCTATTACAGATGGATTTTACCACAAAAACAAGTCCTTCGATTAATTTTACGTATTAAATAACAAGCTGTCTAGAGGTGCTGTTCACAAATTTCACTTACTAAATGACAGCATTACTCTCTAGTGTACTAATTTCCTTGCAATTAGAACAACAGACAAAATAAGTAAGATTCCATCCAACATCTCAGAGGCAAAGAGAAGGTAATCCAGAAGGGTAAAAAACCCAGAAGGGTGAACTGCATTGATTATAAATGCTGAAAAAATGGTGTTAGATAACACTTCAAATAAGGATACAGAAGGACTCTGAATAAAAGGGATGAAGTACTTCCACTGGCAAGAACTTTCCTATTGAAGATAAGCTGATGTATCAAGGTGGGACTCAAGGACAACTTAATCAGTCTCAATTATGTTAAACAGATGGGGGAGATGAAGTCATAGAAGATCAGACTCAGCAACACTTTCACATAGCCCAGCGTTAGCCACTTAAGTATATAGAGGCAGATTCTATAGGGTAACACCTGGATTGTTTCCAAGGTCAAAAACCTTGTAAGCTCCTCAGACCTCATTTAAGGATTTTACACTCACAGTTATGAATTATTCATGAGTATTTTGGAAATCTTCCTATCAGAAGATATCATACTTTTCTTAATCAGAAGCAAGTATGTCAGCTATAGGAAGCAAGCTCATGGCACATTACACTAGATCAATTTAATGCTTGATTTTTCATTGCTTATAGATCAATTCATATTCATTCTACAAAATCAGCGAGACTTAGTTGACTATTTCCAAAAACAGTCACATTCTTTTTCACACACTACTTTGCTCTGAAAATTACTGCAAAACCTAAAGGTTCAGATTCTGAAAAATGCAACCAGCTATGGAGGTACTTCAAAAAAAGTGTAGTTTTAGATACCCAATACCAACAACTTTGTTTGTGCTCTTTCAAAACAAGTTATTTAAGCAGATTTCTATAGCTTTGAGAAATAGTATTTCTCAAAATAAAAAAAAATCATTTTACCATCTTCGATTAACACCATTTGACACATGAAGAATTTCAGTGCAAAAATTAATAGGATATTATGTCTCGCATAGCTTTACATCAATATAACCATTTGTCTCATTGAGAAGATTTGTAACAAACAGGCTGGGCAGAAAGTGTCTAGCCTGTGTGTGCCTTATTTCAGTCCTTCCCCAGAATTCTTCCAAATTTCTTGAAACATCTATGAATCCTGCGGAAGTCCAACCAGTCTCCCAACTGCTTTTCTGCCTCCTAAGGGCCACAATTTGTCATGAAACAAACAGGTTTATAAAAAAATTGTTAAAGTTGGGAAAAAACTCGAAGTATTTAGAGGCTGAAACATACTGTAAGTCCACTGAAAGGAAGTGTATGTTACAGAAATCATCAAGGTGGTGTCCCTTTTATGCCTCTGTACTGTAACACACTTAAGACTATTTTCAGATTAATTTTATACATAAGTATAGCTTTCATCACAGCTGAAAGGTTACTGAAAGACAACATACTCTTTTTATGCAACTTTTTAAAATAGAAGAAATCAAAACCACACTGTAGCATAAGACAACACAACAAATACTTATCAGGCAAATGATGCCTTGTCTCATACATAGGGAGAAAAATAAATTATACTAGGGTGCATAAACACTTAACGTAAGTATATTTTATATATAGGCACACAACATGGATAAATTTATATCTGCTATTTTATTTTGAATACAGAAAGTGACAAAGTATTTCTCTGGAGCTGTACTTTATAACAGATAAATTTAATAACAGGAAGGAGTAGGTTTATACCTCTAGTGTCTCAATCTTGATAAACATAGGTCCAAGAGTTATGGATCCCTTATAATTACTTTCCCAGTAAGAGGTACAGTTAATAATCTACAGTACTTTTAATGTTTCTTCACTGTATGAACCCCAGGAGTCTGGAGAACTAAATATGACTCAGAACTTCAAATTGTTTTGCTCGTTTGGAATGTTACAGCAAGGCAATTTCTGAAAGTCGACAGGATAGCATCTGAGAAAAATTCTTTTAGCTACTATTGTCCAAAGCTAGAGCACCTATACTCCCAATACCTGCACATAACAGATTCACTTAAAACTAATACAGAAATCTTCTGCATCCACATCAATGCCTACACATTCATATTGCTTACCTAGACTGTCCTGTTCAGGTGAGTATTCTCTATGAAATAGATTTTCAGATTATACTTAAAAGCAGTCATATGTAAGTAAAAAAGAAAACTTCCCTGAAACTTCTAAATAAAAATGAAATTGCTAATAAAAAACTCAGACAAACAAAAAAATCCCAGCAAACATAACCCCACAGGCTATCTGAGACCTCAGTGGTGAAACTGAAAATAATAACTTACTTAATCGTTGTTTCACATAGTGTATTGAGAGTGCAAATGAGACAAATTGAAGCCAAAGGCTCTAAAGTTACTGAAACTATCTAACTTATGGCAATAGAAGTAAAACCATTTTTGTTTTAAACCACGATAACTGAATAGCCTTCACTTCTTATAGGCCTGAAGAACGGAAAAGCGCACTTCTGCAGAATAATTCATTAGACTTCACAGAAGTCTTTCCAGAAACTGCAATAACATGGGTTTTGCAGAAAGAAGGCAGGCACCTCAAGTTCACACTTTTGAAGAATTCACCCACATCCAAAGCTGGCTCCTGTGTAATATTCCACATGGACTATTTAAAAAAACAAAGCACATACAAAAATACTCCGTTATTCTACAGGAGACACACAGCAGAAGGGCCCGATTCAGAAAATAGTTAAGAACAGACTTAAAAGCTGCTCTACTCATATTGACTTCAAACCTCAAAGTGCAATCCAGCTGTAGCACAGGAGGCAATAGATTTCAGAATAACCTTGCAAAGCTGAAACCAAAATAACAACCGAGAAGTTGACTATCACAGCAGTTTCTAAGCTTTTCAGCTGCAGACTGCACCTCTAAACACTTAAAAGTGCTCACCTGGGCAACCCCATCCAGCAGAAGCCACCCCCGGGTAGTGAACTCTCCGTGTCACGGCAAACTGGAAACCCATTCGCTCCCTAGACCCCACTCCCCATGGCTTTTAACCCCAATGTGCTCCTCACCTCTCTCCTCACAGCCACCCTAACCTCACTCAGTCCTCCACCGGTGATTCAGTGTAAACTCCCTTTTCAGCCTCAGCCCTGGACCTTTTAATTCAGAAGTTTGCCCACGTTTGGAGGGAGCAGCGGGACAAGGAAGTAAGACGCGTTTAAGCAACACCACCCCGGGTGCCCTAGCTGCTCGTCCGCAGCTCCAACACCGTCAAAGGGCAGCCGGACAGCACGGTCGGGCCTCGGGAGGCGCCTCGGTGGAGAGGCGGCGCGTCACGGCAGGGAGAGAAGCGGGCTGCCCGCTGCAGCCCCTCACCGCCCGAGCGAACGGGCCGGGCCTGGCCCGGCTGCGCAGTGTGCCTGGGCAGCGAGTGGCCAGGCCGTGGCGGGGGAGAGGGGCAAAAGCTACACACCCAGAAGAAGGCCGTCCATGTCAAAGATCAGGTGAGTGACTGGCCGCAGCCCGGCTGCGGAGGAGGAAGAAGAACAGGACATGCCTAGGCCAGAGCAGCCGCGGTCCTGGGTGGCAGTTGACCGCGCAAGCGCGCTTCGCCGGGGTGGCGGGAGCAGAGGGGAGCAGGGGTGTTGTGGGGCCGGTGTGTGTGCCGGGAGCGGCGCTGGGAGCGTGGCCTTCTCTGGTTGGTTGTTTTGTGGTTCTTTTTTAAAAACAAAGCCTATTTCTCTGCATGGGGTCTCTCCTGGAGGGGGACTTTTCATTTCAGATTCCGTTTGCTGCAGCTTTCGGGACATACTGAGGAGTTGCTCAAGTTTTGACATTTTCAGACAGTGTTCCTTCGCAAAGCTTTTGTGTGAATGTGTGGAAAATTGCAAGCATAGTATTATCGCTGGTAACTGGAGCCATAAACAGGCACTAATCTATGTGAAACCGTGAGGAAAGAGTAAACCCATCTCTTAAAAGGGCTGCTGGGTAGAGAAATAGTTAATTCTGGGTTTTGCATGGTGGTTTGTTTGCTGTTTTTTTGGGGTGGGGGCCGGGGGGGTGGGGGTGGGGTGGTTAAGCATTCAAGAAGATCCGAAGTTCAAAAACCAACCCAGTGCTCTTGAGAAAAGGCAAAATCTCCCTGCATGGACACATCATCCAGTTCTATCTGCGCGGTTGCAAGGGGAAGAGGTAAAACTTTGCTCATCAGCTTTCACTTCTATTTTTTTTTTAATGCAGGTAACTCACCGTTGGGCATCAAGATTGCTGAAATACTAGTTGCAGAAGCAGCTATGGAAAGAGCTCTGTCAAGCTTATAAGGTGACATACTGACTTGAAGATTTGTACTGCTTCACAGTTCCATAGGAAGGCAGTGGTTAGTTGCAGCTTCATATACTGCAAGTCCTGTCTGTCTTGTCTGTAGGTAGGCCTCTTGGCAATTCTTTTTTTTTTTTCCTGACAGTTCCCTCATTTGAATTTGCAATGCTTCACCTTTTTAGCAAGTTAGAGGTGGTCTTTAGGTGTCATACAATCACATTTGAATTTTAAGTTATCTTCCTTATGCATCTTACCTGCCTCCAAAACCTATCCCTTAAAAGAGCCCTTGCCCTACAGTTGTGAGAAATAGCGTAGTTACAAAGTCCTTATACCTCTTTTTATCTTGGAAATAGGAAAACAAATAAAACACTGTTGGCCTTTACTTGTACCTTTTTAATAATAAAACTTGACTTTCAACCTAAATTATTTGAGGTTTGGGTTGCTTTTCTGCTTGGTTTGTTTGTTTTTAACTTATTTTGTAATGATTATATTTGATAATGCTGCTTAGGTTCTGCCTGTGTAGTCTACGAAAAAGACTGCACATTGCCTTAAATGTATTTTAAAAATGTCATCCGTAGTCCTGATGCACACCTGTTAGGTCTTGCATAGATTTAGGAAAATGGGTCCTGTGCTTCCAGATTTTTTTTTTTTTTTTTTGTAACCTTGTGTAAACGTTAAGAATGCCCACAGCCATTTTCTTTCAGCAATAAATGCTGTGCACCAAGTCAATATTCCAGCTTTGTTTCAGACACCAAATGTGTTTGTCTCCTTAGTGGTTCACTTAGATGAGAACATAGATAGAATCAATAGAAAGTCCTACATACAATGTGTCCAAAAAAGTGTTACTCTGTTAAAAGGAATAAAAAAATCGTTATAGTAATATCAGTACTTGCAATGGTAGGCATTCTCCTATTTTAAGAAAGAATGTGTTTCTGCTGTAAAAGCAAAATTTTCAAGATGGTGAGTAATGAGGTTGTGTGGCAGTGATACTTGAAGTGCATTCATCCACTTTCTAATTAGGAGATAGTCTTAAAAAAAAGAAAAAAAAAACCCGTCTTTAGTCGTATTTGCTGGCATACAAACACCTGTACTTGTTAAAAATTAAAAATAAAAAGCAACGAACAGCATCAGTCAGATATCTTGATTTATTGTTCTAATTAGAGAAAAGCATATTTTGATCACAACTCTGGCTCTTCCATTCTTCTCAAAAGAGAGAGACTGTTTTTAGTGTTGAGTTCATCTCAGAAAACATAAGGCTTATGCAAAACTTGTGATTATTTAAAGTGGAAATAAATCCTAAAGGCAACCTTTGGAAAAAAGCTTATAAAATTGAAGTGTAATCTACAAGATGAACGTTTTAGGGTTAAGTGGTTTGTGCTACATATCTTAGTGTGTGCATTTCAAGACTGTCAGGCTACCTGACAGACTGATGACCTCAATTTGCTTTGCTTTACTCCAGCTCATCAGTGATAATCAGTGAAATGTTAGCTTACTTGATTCTTCAAAGCTGCATTCAAACACAAGAAAATCTTCTCAAAATAGACAAACCATTTAGGTTTATTCAGCATGACTGTGTCTTTTTACTAACATAATAAAACTCAATGAAAGTCCAAGGAGAACTTTTAATTCATGGTGGAGCATAGTTTTCTAGATGCATAGTGAGAATGCTGATTTAAATTTTATTTGAGCTGTCTTAAATATTTGTCTCATTTCAACAGTAGTATTTGGGTTTTGTTTTTTTTCTTGAATGAGTGAAGAAGTTGAGATTGGGAATTATACAGTTGATTTTTTTTGTTTGCCTTTTATCACTTATTTTAAGCCTGTTTCAAGTGATGAGGACTTTATTTTAATAACTGAGTTGTAGGAGGCATATTGTGGTGGAGGTACAGTAACTGTGAGCATGGATAGTTAATTATATGCCTGAGGACCTGATGTGTGGTTACTGGGAAGGGTGAACTTTGGCTACTGAGATGCAAGTAGACTTGAATCCCTCAGCGTCTGAGGAACACAGTTAACTTCTTGTACATTTTTTTAAATTAATTTAACTTTCTATCTAGGCATATACAGAAGCAGATAAGTAAATCTCTGCCAAGAGAGATTACATGATACATACATATGTGGATGTCCAGGTTTTTTAACAAATGTAAATTAGCTGCCTATAGCTTACTCTTCCTACTCCAAACCAGGCTTTTTTCTATGGCTTTGTAATAATGCATTACAATCACTTTGTTCTTGGTGTGAGATAAGGTGTAAACACTCAGGCCTGTATCCATGGGGTTATTAAGTACACAATACAATGTTTTGCATATACAGTTCTCATAACCTTTTTTAACCTTTGTATGTTTGTTTGGGATTTGTTTACCTTGGAGCTAAAATGTTTGCCACATTACTAAACTTACCTATTTTTTTTTTCTGGAAAGTAAAAGTTTCAGAATATGTGTGTTTTCTTAGGTAAGGCACTTGACTCAAAAATTGCAGTTTCCTATTTCACAACTTTATATTGTGCTCGAAACATGGATTCACTTACATATTTTTGTACCATTTACAGGAATGTCATGCACTATGTGTTTCATACAGAAATGACTGACTTTATTTTTCTTGTTCTGCAGGCGCCTTGGCAAAGAGGATAAACAGATTATAATCCATTTTGATTTGAATCTTAAAAAAGAATCTAAAGACTTGTGTAAATCCAGTAATTTAAAAGCTTTTGCAATGATGTGCATGAACAACTGTTAAACCTGCTATTAGTAACAATTTACTTGTAATGAATTAGACTTAAATGTAATTTAATTAAACCATCAGCTGAAATTCACAACAGTTGCTATAGTTGAGCCTATAAGCCCTCAGAAAATTAAACCCCTCCCAGTGCTGGATGTCACCAGACAAGAGCTTTTTACCCTTTTATTGTTTTAGTATATGTTTTTATGGTTGCAAAAGTGAAAATGAGCATGTATATTAAGGCAATTAAATAATACAATACACCTGCTGATCTGAATAATCTTTTATTCATTACATGAGTCAAAAGGGAGTCTATCCTCTTTAGCCAATCGTATGGGTCTTCTTACAGCCAAGCAGGGAGGGGGGGAGGAGAGCCATCTGTTTTCTGGATTTTGCTATTTGCCACATGGGTTAGTTACAAAGGCAAGAAAGATGATGTGTTACGCTTCAAGAGAATAAAGTGAAGAAGATACGTGTTGGTCATCCATAAATTTAGATGAGGAACTGTAAAAAGGCTTTTAAACAGCAATGAGGAGTGAAATTCTGGAAAAGCCAGCCAAGCACACAAGAGACAAGAAGAACTCTTAAGATATTTTTAGATGTCCATTGCTGCATTTATTGATGGGATGGTACAACAGAACAATTGGTTTCTGAAGCTGAGAAATGAAGCTTTAATGCCATGCTTCAGGGGCCTTTTTTTGTTTCCACTCAAGTCAGTGAGAATAATTTTCTCTCTTCTATGGTTTGTGAATTAGCTTTTTCGACATAATTTTTTGTCTTCTAGTAAAACATTGGCTGCACACAGGCAGTTTTAAGGTGATTAGCAGTGTCATTGTAATTGAAATCCTGAAGTGCTTAGTGGTCCCTCAGCCTTAAACTACCAGAAAGATTAGGGCAGAAGGGATTGCATTTCCTTCATTTGCAGCTTTATTTATCTAACTTTCCAGTGTTGCAGGAGCCTAAAAGTTTGGTCATGCTGTTCGTTCTCTTTCTTGTCTGCATGTGAATTTTATAGCTATATTTTTTTTCATTTTACTACAGTTTGATTGTTACAGATTACAAGAAAAAATTTGTAGTGCCATGTGGAATACACATTCTGTCAACCTTCCTGAACAAGACATCTGTCACTTGGTTGCTGGCAGTAAGGGTGGAACTGAATGCACTGACCCTTCCAGTGGTCCCTTTCAGTCTTGTTCAGCTCAACCTCTTCAAAGGCTGCAACAATTACAGCTTCAGATGGAAAAGAGATAGAAGGATTGTGATTCTCTGGGTCACAAGGTCTCTAAGCTACTGATCTGTAATGCTTCAGAGTCAGGTTTTATATGTGTGTTCCCCACTCAGCATGCAACAAGCTGTAGAACTGAATTTCCAGAGCTCAGACATTCTGCTTACTTTGTGCGTGCATGGCCTTACAATTTTGTACCTACCCAGAAGAGTTAAGCAGAGATAAACAAATGAGCTTGCCAACACTCAGCCTAGAATGTTTGTCTACATGATCAGGGTAATCATCCTACCTGCCTAGGTAGTGCAGGGAGACATACCTTGAGGAATAAGGTTCAGTGTGTTGTAACAAAATATATGAGAAAATAATGTAGTCTTATTTCCTATTTTATGCTTTGAACTAGAATTTTCTTAGCAGAAGGTAAAGAGCAGATACTTGTTTTCATAAAACACTTGTAAAATGGAAACACCACTTGTAAATACTGATACAGTCAGATATTAGGGCTACCTAGAAGGAAGCATATAGTCTCAGTACTGTGAAGCCAGTGAGATCCTGATTTTTTTTTCATTTTTTTATTTCCTAAGACAACTAGCTGCACCTACTAAGCGCATCTGAACCATTTCACCTGGGTTCTGTAAGATGAATGATTGCTCACAGTGATACTGCAGGATTGAAAGATTCCTAGATTTTCTTTTCATGTATGTTTACATGCTGGTAAGGCCAGAACAGATGTTCAAGACATAGATGAATTATTTGAGACAGAATTGTGTATGTTTAAAATGTCTGTCCAGACATTCTGCCTAAAATTTTCCAAGTCTTTGCTCTTCTAGGATATCTTTGTTCTTCCTCTATATTTTTTCATTTTTTTTTTTTTTAACAAATTTCATTCCTTTAACCCTTCCTCATAAGTTAATGCTTTCTGAAGCTTTCAGCATTTCATTTGCTCTTCAGGATTCCAGTTTTTCTGTATCCTTAGAGAAGTCCACCACTCAGATATGTTTTTATAGCTGTGGGGTTCATAAGTGACAAATAGAAAGGCCATGTTTTACTAATAGGCTGCCTTCTTAGGTACAGCATAACTTTGAATTAACATAAGAATTGAATTTGCTCTTTTGCCATAGTTTTATTTCGTTCAGTAATGAATGATTTGTAATTCTTACGAATATTTTTTACTACTCCTGCTTAGGTTGTTCCCATTTTGTAGTAAGCCAAAAGCTTTTGCTGCCATTTGCTGATTTTAAAATTTTCTTTATGGATCACTTCTAGCTGTATCCTCATTAATTAAGAATAGTCAGTATTATACTTCACTGTAAGAGATCACTGGCAACAGATCTAGCCCATGAAGAGCTTACTACCTCTTCATACAGTTTAAAATATTTTTCTGCGTTTTTAAGTATGAAACATTTCTATCTTGCAAGCCTGGTAAGGCAACTATTTCCAAAAAAGCTGTGTTACAAAATGAATCCTTGTATCACTATTTCAGAAATGTTGCATGTGTCACTTAGCCTGGTGGCTGCTACAACTAATAGGGAATGAGTGTTACAGTAATGACCACATTTGACAGCCTGACTGTGTAATCTGTTTTTCACTGGCTTTTCATTTTTAGGCCAACAATTATGCCCTTATCTGGAAAAATTAGACTAATGCAATTTTTAAAAAATTATTAACAAGACTTTTAATATTAAAGATGGTTATATGTCCTCATTAAGTAAGATGTGCCATCCAGAGACTAGCCATCTATCCATCTTGTTCCATGGTCATGAAATGAGGTAGGGTTAGGCTGTGCTCTTGAGCTACAGAGCTCTGACGAAAGCATCTGTGTTTCATGAAGCACAAAGCTCCGCTCAGTAGGTGGCATTCTTGTCACTGACATTTGTCACAAGTATCTTCTGGGGTAGTGCTGGCACTAAAGCTGTTTAAAGTTGGTGGGAATATAGTAAACCTTTTCCCATTTTCAATTTTTAAATATATTTAGCTGGGTGATTGTTGCTTCTTGAAAGACCTGACAAAGGGTTGGAATGTACATACCTATCTGCTTTTTCTGACTTCATCACATACATTATTCATGTAGATTCAATGGAATATACTTTTCCTGTTTGCGCAAGACCACCTTTCCTTAAAGATCCTGTTTTGTTTGTGAGTAGAGGTGGCTTAGTCAAGTACCTGAGAGTTAGAAACTATGGCTATAGTGACTACTAAACCTGGATCTTTATTCTTGCATGGTATAGTCAGTATGTTCCTCCAGCTAAACTCCTAGCTAAACTCTTAACTAAAGTTTAACACAACCATGATAAAAAATAACAAAATCATTAGAACATGTCACTGACTTCCATAATAAAAGCCATTATGACTTCCTCAGAACTGTACAAAGCCCTCTGCACAGATTTCACAAGTTTGTGTAATGATTCCCCTGCATCCCTCAGGGTAACTACATAGATACAGAATTTTTAGACTGAAACTTGGCATTAGTGGTTTTGGTCAAAGCCAAAGAATAAAGATTAAACGTCTTTTTTTTTTTTTTCTGAAGATTTGTTACAGCATAAATATTGTCTAATATACAATAATCCAATTTTTATAAAGACCCTAGGAACAGCAGAGCTGCATTTTTTAATTCTGGACAAGTGTGACTTTCAAAAGCATTTTCTGAAATTAGCTAGGTTCCTTGGGTTTTACTGTACTGAGAAGTAAGTATCCTTTATTCCATTTTTAGCTCTGTTATTGGTTTATCACATTAAATACAAGTTTGTATTAGCAGGTTTATGTGGAAGCATAAGCATTTAGGTGTGTGCCAATATTCAGTCAGTCTAAGAAAGCAGTGCATCATGTTTCATTTTTACAAAGATATACCTGTACTGTAGCTGGTAGATGAACACTTTGTGGTGCAATTGAATTTGATCCTAAACTTCCAAAGCTTTGGCAGAGATATTTTAATGAACTGAGACAAAAGGTCTATCTCATGGTAGCTCTGCCTCTCCACTAGATTAAAATAAATCCAGTCATGTATCTTTTCATCTCCTTTTCGTTCCAAACACAATTAAAAAAAAAAAATTCCTTTACCAATTCAGTGAGTTGAACTTTGTTATAGATATGAATGTTCAAATATAAATGTGTAGATACTGTCTCTCACTTGGTGACCAGAAGACCAAAGTATCTAAAAAACCGACGTTTCTAACAAATTATGAAAGAAAAAATGAAGTTGAACCCTGCATTCATATCCATGTGGGGGAAAAGACATCTATGGACATGCATTTCTGACCAAGTTTCCTGGTGGAAAATACATAATTTGGGGTGGAGGGAAGAGGATAATATGTAAACTAGGTAGCACTTTTCAAAGTTTTATGAATTATTTTTTTTTTTTTTTTTTTTTTGTATTAGGGTCCTCGGACTCCCTGGGAGCAGTCATTTTCCGGGAGTACAGAAGTTTCTAAGACAATGTACAGTGAACAAACCAGGATGGGCTACTACTGGGTGTGTTTATAGGCAGAGAATCTCTGTAATTCTATGCCTCTGATGGAAAAGTTTGAAAAAACTGAAGTTATGCTTTAAAAGGGGTTTTAATGCAGTTTCTCAGAAGTTGCTACATTCAGCAGGAATGTTTACCATGTGTACAGAAGGGGGAAATATACCTGAAATTGGCACTGCGCATGTTTTCCAGAAATATGGTGCAAAGCCACTAGCGTTTGAAAAGCCTAACAGGAGATCTTGAGTAATAAACTGAAACAAGTTTGTTACTGCTTTTAGTTTATTATTTGGTTAGGCATGTGTGTATAGGTGTTATGAAAACTTACTGGGATTATTTCTTACTAGTGAAGTAGCAATTGTGTTAGCATTGTATAGTAAGTTGTCTTTTTCAGTGTTGTCCTTCCTTCCCTCCGCCCTTCTGTTTTCAATTCACGTGACTGGACTTTGTATCCATTTATCCACAATCAGTGTAGAGCCATCTTGTTTGAAAACCAGAGACAGAAACAGAAACAAATTCCGTGCTGCAAGGTAAAATGCCCCTCCTGCCCCAAACTCTGTCATTTATATATAGTTATATATAATTGTAAACATTGAGCTCATGTATAGTTGGAGTTCATATTCTTTCACAGCTCAAAACAATTTCTTCATGGCAGGGAATTAGCAATTATTAGAAGTAATTAACATACACTGTATTGTCTTTTCCTCTTTAACTTAATGCAGTCTGTTTTTAGATAAGGAAGGAAAAAGGTAAGTTAATACTGTCTACTCTTGTTTTTAAGATACTGTCAACTATGGTGGTAAGTTATTTTGCAACAAAATGGACTTTGTTATTAGGGATTGCAATGAGGTAGAACATTCCCTGCCTGCAACAGGTTAAGGAGTATGTAAGCTTTACTTGAATAGTGAAAGCATTTTGAACAAAAAAGCAAGCAGGGTGTTTGTGAACAAGAACATTTTCCAGCTGTGAAACAGTGCTTTTTCTCTTACCACTTAAGCTCTGGTTGTTTAAAAAGTAATGTTAAAAGTGTATGTAATTTTGATTATGGACTCTTATTCAAGAATCAAATGGAAATGAATTGTTAAACAGTCTTGGAGGGGGGTTAGGATCTAAAATAAGCTTGTAGTTTTGAAGTGACTATGGTTTGTGTGCAGTGTATGTAATGTGACAAAATCCACTTGATTCAAAGCCTGCAAGACTTAACTGTACCTTACAAAGTTATATTAAATAAATCTAATGTCTTCCTTTGTGATCTTTTACAAATCCAACCTGCTGACTGAGGGTAAACATAGCTACTGAAAGAAGAGTATATATAAGGGTAATCTCTGGGAGAGAGGATGGCAAGGAATAATAGGCAAAGAGAAAAGGTAAGGAAAAAATAATCACTTCTGAATAGGTTGTATCTGCCAGGCTTAAGCAGAAGCTCTACATTTAGCAACCATGCTGAGAGAGAAAGAAGGAAGATGAAAGAGAAGACTAACCAAAACAAGTGTTAGAACAGAAACTGACGAGGCATATTGCCTGCTATGCAATTTTGTAATTACTTGCTAAGGATATGGATTCCATACATCCTGTTTTATCACAAACGTTTTTTTTTCTGCTTCTGCCCTTAGGGTGCTCTCTAGGTGTATTTTAGTAAATGCAAACCTGTGTTAAATCCCTGTCAGACCAGCAGCTGAGGCTGCTTTAACATCTGGAGAACCACAGATGTTTGGCAATAGGGATTGCTCTATATTGCTGGCCAGTGGAAAAGCCTGTGCTGTGAGGAAAGAAGTCATGTAGGACGAAAGCAGCAATGTGCAGCAGCATCAGGAGTTGTAATGGTAGGGTGATAACAGCAATATCTAGGCAAGCAGAAATGGAGTTGTTGAGGAGCTGCATCCAAGAGGTATTCAGTTTGACTTTATATTGATGACACAGAAATACAGGATTCTTGAGTAGAAAGGGATTTGGAATATGATGGGAGATGGTTTAGAAAGATTAGGATTGCAGAAGAATTTGTGTGATGGCTTCTTGATTGTATGAGAGGAATTTTGAGGGTGATGAATTAAAATCAGCTTAGTGTTAGAAGAGGGTTAGGAGGAAGACAGGATATTAGACTAGGATTGTTAGGAAGTGCTTAACAAGAATTATGGCTATGGCACTCTGGGCTGTGAACACAGAAGTTTGAACTGCTTCAGGTTCACAGTGATAGTGATCTTGGATTTTTCACATCCTGGACAGTATTTTAAATTAAAAGATAATGGTGTAAAAATGGTCTCTTCTTTTTTCTATTGTACCAAAGATCAGCCTATTCAGAAGGAAATCTTAGAGTAGAGAGCTCAGACAGACCTATTTTCCTCTGACATTGTCTTAAACTAGCCAGATTGGTGGTTGTATGATGTTGTATGCAAACATGCTTTCTAAAGGAACCCCTAGTGATACAAATTTTAAATAATTAGAAATAAAAGTTAGTAAGCTAGAAGGCTACTTTATTCTCTTCTTTCCCCCCCCCTTCCCAGTGTTTTTATTCCGCACTGCTGACAAAACTGGCAACTATGATGAAGAAAATTAGAAGCTGTTGACATGGATTAGTCATTTACAAAAGTTACTCTTAGCTACATAAGAAGCATCACATCTCCAGTTCATGTAAGTTATTATAATAGACAACTGAGTATGTTTTCAATTACAGCACTTGTCTAATAATAGCAGTGAAGTATTAGTCCTGAAAAATGCATGTTGAACAGAGGAAGCGACATGTTCTTTTTCACTGATGAACAGAATCCATCCTTTAAAAACATGAGATTGTGTTGTACCTGAAGGCATATAGCAAAGGAAAATGTTCTTTCTCATCAACTTCTTTAATGACATTCTGATACAATTCAAAAAGCGTGTTATTCTCTTCAAATATACTTGCAGCATGCTCTAGTCCAGGCCAAAAGGTAATGAGACCCATGAAGCTATTATTAAGTAACCTTTCAAATGTTAAATGGAAGTTAATACTGGTTTACCACAAGAAAATGAAAAAAAAAAAAAAGTCTTTTTTTAATACTTACTATATTTATTTGTGTTCTTAAAATGTCATATAAAATAAGGTGAAAATGAAGTGAATTACTATAGTTTTGAGATAATGAAAATTTTCATTTTGCTGTGTTGTGATTTTGCCTTTTAGCTCCTATGTGCAAAGGAGCTGTGTTCTAACAGCAAGTATTTACCAGTTTCCTAGAGCTCCTATGAAAGAGAGAAAGAACTAGAGAAAAGAAAGGGAAGAAGAGAGGGAAGGAGGGAAGGAGCAAGAATTTTGTACTCACACAAGGCAGAAGGAAACTGGATATGTTGTGGCCTAAATTGCTGTTTTTCCTGTATTGCTGTAATACAATATACACATTTCATTTGTTCATTTTTTTTTTTTCTGTCAGACTCTAAGAACCCACTTAGTCTGTTCATGTATTCTAGGCAGATATTTTTAGTCTTAGAATTGTTTGCTGTTTCAGATATCTCTCATTTTAAGACTTTTTAATTCTAATTGTTGCCTAATCCTATCTTGTTTAAATTCTATCCCTCAAATATTTCACCAAGCTAAGTATATTTACAATTTTTTAATTTGTTTTTATTTTGTTTTTCTGAGGGAGTAATTCAGATGTTCCTTGGTATTCTTACTGAAGTTATTAAATGATCAAATCTTTGGAATTGGGATATAAAGTTGGCTAATGTATATGCCTCATTTTGTAAATGTCTTTGCCCTTTGGCTTGCACATTTTTTTGAAGAATGTGATCTATGTAGTTTGCAATCAGGCAGCTATATAACCATTATACAGCTCATAATCCTTCTTTTCCTAATTGTACAAGTGTTCTTTCCAGAGTAAATATTTTCCTGGTTTGTAGGACCTCCTAATTTTGTGATCGCTGTGTTGTGTTTTCAAATCTGTTTCCAATAATTGTATTTAGTAATGCTTGCAATGAATAGTGCTAGTGGAGTATCTCTGCATTAGAGCTGGTTAGAAAATTACTTACCATCTTAATTCCTATTGCCATTTCTGAAGTTTTTTTTTCAGCATGGTAATAGGGGAAAAAATAAAAATTTTGACTGGATAATCCTATTCTATTTGCTCTAATTTTGAATTAGGTCATAAAAAGATGGGTGGTATGTGGGTTAATCTTTTAACCCTGTTCAAAATAACGTGGTAAAAAAATCTCCCAGCACAAAAGAACAACAAAAGTGATTTGGTTGCGTCATATAAATGCTAAACACACTATTTTTCTAGATGTAAGAGTAAAGATCATGAATTTAATTTTTGGACATTAAACAAAAATCTATATTAATCTATATTAAAAAATATAGATTATAAAATCTATATTAAAATTCCTTTTATTTTGCCCCACTAGAAAGACTTTTGTCAAAATAATTTGGAACAATTTGTCATGAGACATGTTCACAACTGTTTCCAGGATAAGGACGTACCATTCCCTGAATATTGGTTCCATGACAGAAGTAAAATAACCAGATTTTCTATTGCTTAGAAACTTCAAAGAAGAAACTTAGTCTTCAGTAAGCAGCTACACTTGTTTATTTTAAATGTCTCTTACTTGTGCAAATTAAAAGGAAAGAGAAGCTGTTCATTTATTTCTTGTGAGCCTCCTGCTTACACCAGCAACACCATAAGTCAGCTGAGCACAACTGAATTATTTTTTACTTAAAAAGCTTTGCTATTTTTCTCCCTGGTAAAAGGTTCACTTTTAGAGTCTAGATGGATTGCATCACAGCAAAGAAACTTTTGGTTAATGGTAATCAATGAAAGCAATTTGCTGTTGGATCCATTCATCCCCTTTTCATTTTAAATGTGGTAGGTTGGCCCTGGCTAACAGCCAAGCACCCACACAGCTGCTTGCTAGTTTCCTTCCCATGCTCCTGAGTGAGATGAGGGAGAAAGCAGGAAAATAGGAGGATCAGAAGTGAGAAGACTCAAGAGTTCAATTAAAGACAGGGAAACACACCTTAATAAGTACTGTCAGGGGCAAAACAACTTGGGGAATTAATGTATTGCCAGGTAGCATAAATATTTAATTTTTTATTGGAATATTGGGAAACAACAAGTACAGACATCTAAATATGCAGGAAAAACACCTTTCCTCCCACTTCCCAGGCTCAACTTCAGATTTCCTTCTTCCATCTTCCTAGTCTCCACACCTTCACTCCAGACATCTACTGCTGCATATTGTGCTCAATCCCTTCAGTGAGGCAATGGGTGGCTTATGAGGATGAAGTCAGTGCTTAGCTATGTGGAGCAGCTCCTACTGCCCTGACCTTGTTGTTCCCACCTCCTCTTCCTCTCCGTCCTGTCTCTGCCACTCCACCCCCTTCCCTCTGTGTTCATTCCCCAGAGTGGTTTTTGCCCTTTCTTAAATATATTTTCCCAGGATGTTGCCAGCTTGTCTGACGGGCTTAGCTATGTCTGCAGTGGGTGCATTGCAGAGGCGGCTGAAACTGACTATTCGGCACAGGACAGTCCCATGTCTATTTTCCAGAGGCCTCCCCTGCAGCCCCCTTCTGCCAATACATTGGCACCCACATTCAGTACATCACCATGAAAAAGTGATGTACTGTGATATTTTGTTTTGATAATCATGGGAGATGTTTTTGTTTTTTTTTTTTTTTCTTATGCTTTTTCTAATGCATATTCTTTATAATAGTGTTTCTGGGAAAGAGCACAAAGGCTGGACATAAGTAATAGCCCAGATACAACCATTTCCTCTTAATTAGTTCGCATCCCTTCTAATACAGCCATTCTCAGTCTCTGCAATGGGACAAATTGAACAGGTCCTTGTGGACAAATGAGAGGGCTGCTTGCAGTACCATTTTATCCATTGAATGATCTGAGTATATCTGTATCATATAATGAGTACACTGTTACTCTCTCTTTTCCCACCCCTTGTGTGACAGGACTGTCCCATGATGAGAATAAATGTGTCTCCCATGGTGTGATGGGCGTCAGGGGAACATGTGTAATACTTGAGCATGTGAATAGGTTCATTCCAGTGAGACACTATCAAATTGTATGCCATCCACGTGAATTGCTTGATACTGCCCATGCAGATTAACAGACTTTTTCTTGTTATATGTCAGGAGCTAAAGCGTTTTTTCTTCTGTGAAAAGGAACTTGTGAAAGGAAGTAAGAGGATCTAGCAAAAACTGGCCAGTCACAGGCTGGTTTAGTTGCCATGTGTGCGTAGCCCTTAGGCAAGAGGGCAGCAGGGAGTGGGCAGTGAACAACAGTCAGGTTGAGCTCGTAGTCTGTTGGTTGGTCATCTCTGACAACATCTTCCTTGAAATATTGTCTGGCTTGAGTAACAGTATTGAATGTAATTTCTAGATAGAATATTAATCAGGTTACTGTACAGTCTGGAAAGGACGAATACTTATGCATCCTTTAGAGGAAAATTTTGCAACTAAAACTCGTGAACACTTGTCCCCAGTTCTCAGATTTCAGTGGAACTATTCACAGAGTAAGAAATTGTTGCATCAGTAAGTTTGCTAGGGCACATTATACTAATTGAAAAGTAATGTAGTGGTCGTTTATTGCACAAAGTTTTTTTCTTATTTTATGCTGAGCACAAACAGGCAATGCACCATCAAATTGGGATTTTTTTTATGTAACTTTATTCCTTTTTGTATATATCCAGTCTAAACTAGATATTTAGGCTCTCTTTGTAGTCTGTGGAAAAAGATCGTGAGCATCACTTCCAACATTTCATTATACCAATCTTAAGGAGAGATGAATCATCCTCTTAAGGTGCCTGTCTCCTCCCATTAATTAGAAAGCAAGCCTAGATAATTAGCTCATTCTAAATGCATAACTTTAAGATGAATAAATTCAGATGCACCGTGAGTGTCTAGTTGATATGGGCCATGTAGGCATTTAACTTCTATGTGGCTAAAATAAATATTGGCTGAATAGCAACCTTTTCTCAATTTTTGTATCTAAATCAGTCAGTTATAATGAGAGCCCTTGAGTATTATCAAAATGCAAGTATAAATAACAATAGAGCTGTTTTAAAAATCATAATCCTACACTTTGAGAATGAAGTAATGCAAATGCAAGTTCTCTTTTCTTTACATGAAACATCCTTTTGGAAACACTTTTAACATACTGGATTATTTTACTAGTGTGTTACTTGCTAGCTTTATGAGGCAAAGAAAAATTAACTGGCCATTTCACTGCAATTTCTCTGGTAAACCATTTTGACTAGAAAAGTAGTTATAGATAGAAGACTATTATGTTATAAAATCCAAAGCTTTGATCTTGACAGACTTCAGAGGATGCCAGTGAGTAACTCAGGGGAGAGTGATAGGTTTGGGGGTGTTGAAGGGTGTTTATTTATTTGGTTTAGGGGGGGTTGTTTGTTGTTTTTTTGTTTGGGTTTGTTTTGTTGGTTTTTTTTTTCTGTTAGGTTTAATGATTTCCTGTGACAGGCATTTGAATACTACTGTTTCAGTGAAAAAGGGTTAGAAATTACTTCAAATTGGATGAAATTAAAAGCCAGTGTTAATTGGTTGATCATTTGTCTTACTGTCCCTCCAAAGACTTACAGCAGGACTCACGTACCAACCTTCAGATCTGTGCAGTATCCCTGTGAAGGAAGTGTATTGGTGGAGTCTAGTATCTTATTCTGATATTGCATGTAATTAGATTTTTTTCCTTTTTAAACACTTTGTGGAATATTACTTTGAAGATGAACTGAAACTCAAAGGAGATCAGTTTGGCTATAGTTGGGTGAAGGTGAAGAGACTGTAACCACTCAATTATATTAAGATACAGTTTATATTACAAAAGATAATCTTGTCTTCTCTTCATATTATAATTTACTACGAAAACTAATGTTTACTATTTATTAATACTGCCATTAAAATCTGTAATTTAATTTAGCTAACACTAGCAATTTCTTGAGAAAACATTTAAAAAAGATAAATTATTTACCTTAAGTTGAACTTGTATCTGGTGGATGCTGTGTGGCTTCATCTCTATTTGATTCAGACACAATAATTAATCTTGCTTGAGCAAGAAACATGATTGTTTTCTCTGGTGTTCTTCCGAGCTCATGTTAAGCAAAATTTCTGTCGTGCAATGAGACAACTTTTAATAAATTTAATCCTGATTTTCATTTTTGTACATAGTTACCTGAAGATGCACACTGAAATCTAATGGCACTCTTCAGAAAAATGTTATGGTGTTTTTACAGACACAAATATCAATCAGTTTACAGATACAGAGAGACACAGCCTTCTGTGACCACACCGTGAGAGGGCTGAATGCAAATCAGTTCCAACCTGGGAAAGAAATAGTCATCCTAATCTGGCACTGAATCTGACGTGCCTAACCAGTAGGTAGGATGGAAGACGCCTATGTCTCTGGAAAAAAAAAACAAAACAACAACGACTAATAAGCACATCAAATATGCTGCCTGGACCTGAGGAAACAGGAGGAGAACATCTGGCTCTGAGGACTGGAGAGGATTCTTAGAAGGTATCTTACCAGGCAGGAGGAGAAATAAAATACTAAAAAAAAACAGCATTAAGAAATAGTGAGTTTATGGTATTAAAATATTACTGAGATTTGAGTTTCCAGTGATCAGTTAGGATACAATAAATATTTGCAGGGTCTTAGCTTGTTGCCAATGCAAAGTAATGTTTGTTTGTCTGAATGAATTATTATTAAAAGCAGGTCAAAAACGTGGGTTTATTTCTCTTTTCTCAGTAGTATGACATAAAAGATGCACAGTTATGACTGACTTGTAAGAGAAAAATTGAGAGATTTTAAGAAATCTTAAGCTAATATTATAAAATTCTTAAGAGTATATAATATTACTTTACCATTTGTTACAATTTAAAAGCTTTTTTTCTCATGAAGCTGAAGAATTTTCATGTTGCAGAATCTTATGGAGAACAGTGTTGCCTTCTATTTTGTTTACAGTGTGATTTTTATGACTTTTAGGGAAATTTTTTGAGTATATTTATTATATGTTTTTATCCATTTGTTCTTGCACATTTATACTTTGTTTTAATACAAGTAGAAAATATGTATTCAAATCCCAATAATGTTATTTGAAGATATGTAGAAAAAGTAGGATATATGTATATATGCATCCACATACATGTGCAGATATGTATAGTGACACCTATGTATGTATGTATATACATATGCATATATATATATACACATACATGTGTAATGATTAAAGTATGGTAGTTTGAAATGGGATGTATGAAATCTAAATTCTTACATAGCTCTTATATGAAATTAAGCACCTCTTAAATATATCCAACTTAGCAGCCATGTTGGGATGAAAAAAGGTACTATTAGTCCTATTATATCACAGCGAAAGTGAAGCAGATATTGAAAATTGCACTTAGGTGTCCTGCGTGCAATTAAGGAAAAATTTTGCCACTAGAATCTAAAACATAAGCCTTCAAAGATTAAGATTACTGTAGGAACATTTAAAGGATGTTGTGGAAGTAAAATAATATCAAATTGGTTCAATGCAAAAAAAAAAAACAAACAAACAAAAAAACAAACCCAAATTAAACAAAAGTTGATTGGTTAAAATAGACAAATAGAGTAAAATAAATTCATGAAGGGAAAAGAATCTACAGGGAAATATTCAATACAGTGCTCTTCTGTTCAAAATGCCCTAAATGCTGACTGTCAAAAGCTAGAAGGGTGCACTAGTAAAAGAATATACTCGCCAAGTTTCTTACATTCTTACCTTAAGTATTTGGATTGTTTGCTGCTGGAGACCAAATACTAGGTTAAATGGAAGCTTCATCTGATTTGGTGTAATCATTTATATGTTAGATCTGCGCGTGCCTGTCTTTTCACCATTAAAAACCGTAGTGTGACACAGATGAGCCTCCGTATCCTCAGAGCTTCGTTCTCATGTTCTTCCCTTTTTTACTCTTCTGAATTTCTTTGTTGTTGCCTGTTCTGCTCAATTTCATCCATTCAATATTTCTTGCTTTCCAAGCACATCCCTTCAAGATTCATAAAAGTCTATTGTAGAGAGTACACTATAGAAATCAGAGTTGTTGGGATTAATTTTTTTTTCCCGTTTCTGTGTTGATTTCACTTCAGGGACATGATACCAGGTGGAGGCAGATAGCCCAGCGTGTAAGAGTGCCTGCAGATACTCCTTCAGAGTGGAGGACTATACAGCAATATTACATCAGAGACATCTTTCAGTAACATTTTTTGCTGTTGATTTGCAAAATGAGAAATGAGGTACTAAATGAGGCTAACTTCTGCAGGAATAGATCCAGAAAATAAGATTTTCAGCCACTTTGCAAGTTACAGTGATCCAGTTGATACTGGGCACAGCTATTGTTAACATTGCTGTGTAGATTTATTTAAAATATTATATGAATGTTTATTTAAAATATTATTTTTCACTGTGTATATATAGCTAAAGATTGTAAAGTTTGACCAAAGTGACAAAGTTTCTTAGGTATTTTCCTGCTCATATCTCTATACAAACTTGAAATCTCTTTAAAATTCATATAAATTGTAGTCAGCTGATTTTGAAGATATTTCACTCATTTTTTAGATTGCTTTTATTCTTGAAAATAAAAGACAGCTGCTACTTTGGTTTTTAACAGTAACTTTGCTCAGTAAAAGGAAAATTAATTTGTTCTGTTCACTAGTGGCTAAAGACCCCACACGTATTCAAAAAGACTGCTCTCCATAGTTCCATACCTCCTAATTGAAACACAGGATGTTTTGTTTGTACCAGTTGAATTAAACCTTGGAATTGTTGTTTGGAAGACTTGCAAAACCAGATAGCTTTGTGCTTTTAAAATGATGGTTTTATTAGTGGCAGGAGCACACATTTCTAGTTTTTATTCAGATGTGAAGCCTGCAATAAAGCTGAGGACACTCAGTAATTCTATGAAATAAATGTGCATGCCCTGCGAACATCAGCACAATTCTATATATGTCACCAACATACATGTCACCCTTTTCAGCATCCCTATTACCATGGGCCTTGAGACCCTTGCAGTCTGAATAGTGGAGTAGGAGCTAAAGGTCTGGCAGCAGGTTGTTCCTGTCCTGTGGGGTCAGGGTGCTAGATGTTCTCTGCAGTGCATGGGAAGAAAATCACACTTATTTATCCTTTCAGGGAAGAAAGCTAAACCTACTGGGCAGATTATGTCTGCAGTGTGGCAGGTGCTACACAGCTTCATTAATATGGTAATTGGATGGAGGGTTGGTTAGATGCATTCCACCAAGCAGAACTGCATTTAGTGTTTTAGTCTTAAAGTTTGTGTATGTATTTTCCGTATCTGAAACAAAGTAGATTGCTTCCCATGGAATAAGCCAGGTAATGATCTGTTGCCACAGTGATAAGGCTGGGATCGTTAGGTGTTGCTCACTGAAATCTAAACCAGAATTGTTGTCATCAAAGCAAAGTCAATGGGTTAGAAAGCATTTATTAAGTAGTAAAAATCAGCTAATATTAGTGTTTTATCTGTATGCAAACAAGTACTAAGAGTCCCAGTTTGTTGGTTGATCCCCACTATTTTGACTTGCATCAGTCCCAGACTGCCCAGGCTCTTTCCAGTCAGTTCTCTTCATCTTCCATAATCATAGCTCCTCAGCTATTTCATCCCAGATACTCCCATTTCTGTCACCTGTTTTCGTGAATTTGTTTTCCTACCCACTGTCATCCTGTCCCTTCCAGTTTCTTAAACCTTCTACCATTTCTTCTAATTTCAGCCTGCAGTTCTCATTCCAACTGGGCCTCAGGCTTTCCTTCTTGCTCTTCAAGTCAGTGCAAGCTCTTCTAGTTCTGACTACTTCATCTTCTACAGATACTTTTAACCACCACACCTCACTGATACACAAATGTGTCTCTCTTGATGTCTCTGCACCAGCTCTTCTAGTTCTGGCTTCTCTATCTTCTCTCTTCTTTTCTCTTCTCTCTGTTACTTCTATCTACTGTAACTCACTGGTTTACAAGTTTTTCATTTCTTGACCTGCTGTCCCCATTCTCTGTCAAAATTCTTGTTTCTAGTTCCCTTTTCTACTCTTTTACTTTCAAATTTCCACCTCAGTCCTGGTTTCCTCCCCTTTCCTTCTTGTCCCAGCATAATCCAGGGTGCAGGTGTGACTCATGTCTCATCTGCATTTGAAAAAGGCTGCCTGCATCCAGAAATGATGGAAGTATTACTAGAGGTAAAGGAGAGTGAGTCTCTGTTCTTTTTTGATGTGTATACCTGACACAATCCTTCACAGCCTAGAGGCACTCAATTGCAGGTGGAGCATACTTGATGCAGTTTAAAACTGAGATATGACAAGTCCCTGCTTGGGTAAAATAGTAATAGACTGTGCTCTTATCATAAAAGATGGTGTGTAGTATTGTTAACAATGCATTCTTCCTGTTTTAAGTTGGATATAGCATGAGCATTGTTTATTGAACATTGTGATATAAAATATTTTTACATAATTTTGCTACAGGCCCTGGTATTTAAAATGTCTGCAAAGAGCTTTTTCTTGAACATTCCTTTCAATAATTTTGTAATTTATGTCTTCATTTCCTTTTGGATAGTACTTATTCCTGTCAAGAAACTAGAGCTGGTTTGTTTTTTTTCCCTTGTTGACAAGTTATTCAGTCATTTACATTGGTAGCAGAATTGTTGAACATTTTTTTTGTTGTTGTTTTTTGTTTTTCCTGCAATGAGCCTTGGAAATTTTGGTCCTAAAAGATTTCAGTTTCTGTGTTCCCTAAATCACATTTTTACCTAAAAAAAAAAAATAAATTATTTGCTGTCATATTTACTGCTGTATAGTGCATCTGTGTATGCAAAAGTATTGTTACTGAGGTTGTGACTAATTCTTTGTTCATCTTTATTTAAAGGATTGGTCTGTGTAAGGGGGTGAAAGGAAAAATCATCTATATACTAAAAGATGCATTTTAATTTTTAAGAAATATAACAGAGAAAATAATGTTAAAAAAACTCTTGAGGAAAAAGAAAAAGCCAAATAAAAATCTCCAGTCTGTCTTTTTTTCTTCTAATATACAATCCAGAGCAATAAATAATAGGACTATATTCAATTAATAGTAAAATTAAAAAGAAGTCTTAACTATTATGTTTTCCACTTGTTCTTATGCACCAGGAAGAAGATGAGACTCCTTTTATTTCTACTAATTTGCCAGTGTGCCATAAACAGTGTCAAAGCATACAGTGCTTCAAGTCCCAGTGTCATTTTACTGATGGCTGATGATCTTGGTATTGGAGACCTAGGATGTTATGGGAACAGAACATTAAGGTATGATGATACAGTTGAGGGAGTCAGAGCTTTATTTTAGTTTTTCTATGGATTTGTGAAGTTAAAACCCCAAAACGTTCAGAGATTTCATTAGCCTTTATAGGTAAGCAAAGTTAATATCCTTTCTAGAGAACAGCATATTTAATCTTTGTTTTCTTAACAAGAAGACTTATCTGTTTTATTTATCCTGCTGAAAAGTTGTATCATAAAGAGAATTGAGCAACCAACAAAATAAGGGTAGGTCTAGAGAAGCAAAGTACAATCAACAATTGTAGTTTAAAATAAACATGACACAAGTACTATAAATTAAGCATATTTTGAAGCATCTGTGAGTTAAGCAAAGCTTGTCACTAGCCAATCATAAATAAAGTGCTGATTTTTTTTCCTTCATCTTCATGCTGTACTCAATAAATTCATTAAAACAGGTGTTAATGTACCTAATGGAAAAATTTTTGACACAACGGTATTTAGAATTGCAACCCTACCATGGTTTTGATAATTTGCATACAATAAATCTTAACTTGATTTTCCTGATAGTTTTTTGTTTCAGATGCCTTGATCTTGCCATGCCCATTTCCAAATAATTATCTTTGTGTATTCTTTTGTTGTCTTTCCTGCTTATGTTTTTCTAGAACCCCTAATATTGACAGGCTGGCAGAGGAAGGAGTGACACTTACTCATCACATAGCAGCATCCCCACTTTGTACTCCAAGTAGGGCTGCTTTCCTGACTGGGCGATATCCTATCAGATCAGGTAAAATTCCATTGCTTTATATGTAAATATAATATTTTATTTGTAGTAAATGTATGCATTTTCTTCACTGGCTTTTCTTGCTATCTTTATCATTACTTGATTAGGTACTTATTTCAGTGACCAATAAAGCTCAGTGAAGATGGTCAGCATTTCAAATCTTCCATATATTGGGAAATTCTCACATTTCAGATAAGTTAACACAAAAATAAAGCCCCTTTTTACTGAGAAAAAGATTTTTAAAATAGTGAAGAAAAAATCTGATTGTGGTGTTTTAATGTAAGGAGCAGACAAATTCCATCGATTTCCTCCACCTTCCAAATGACCTCTCTGTCTGCCTCCCCAGTCGCGTTCAGGCTGCTCCCCAGGATATTTGAGGGCAGCCTGACTGTTGAGCATCACAGAGATTCATCTAGAAAGACACAATGGAAAACCTGGTGTAAATCCTTCTGCTCAGACATTTCTGTTTCTACAAAATCTTTTGATTTAGACAAGTTGTTATTTTTTTTCAGGGTGGCAGGGAGTGGAGGAGGTGGGGATGGTGGAGTGTATGATGGCTATTCGTTAAGATGTTCTAGAAGCCCTTAATACTGGGAAGAAGAAAGAAAAAAAAATCTCCCTTCTTTCTCAGTATTTTTGCTCCATATCTATGCATACACAGTGTTAAGTACCCCATGAATGTATGCATTTAATAACTTCTCTCAGTTTTAAACTACCTGATCCAAAGCCCAGTTAAGTAAGTGAAGATCCAGTCTGTTTATTTTAGTGTGCTGGGACTGAGCCCCTTAGTGCTTAGCCATGCAACTTTAACATTCCCTTAACATCATTTTTAGCAAGGATCATTATACATTAATCAGATCACTTGTTCATTAGTGATAAAACATCCTGTCCTTTCTTCTGGGAATGAAAGCAAAGCAAGACTCTGGAGCCTACTTGATACGTTCGTGCTCATTCAAATCAAGTAACAAGCTTCTGCAAAAGTGATAGCTGATATAACTTGCAAAATTTTCTATTACATTCAGCTGCAAAGGAAAATTTTATATGCCTGTTACAGCTAAATTGCTGTTTATATTTACTGTAGGTAAAGCCACAGGTCACTTTCCATTACAACCCGTGTTATTTCCAAAAAATTAGCATTTGAACTGATTTATTTCTTAACTGATTGCCTCTCAGGTAAACCAGATTATTTCCATGTTTGTACAAAAATGGTCTTTGTCTTAATTAAATGACTAAATTGCTAAATGTGGACTATTTCCAAATGTCAATGAATACTAATAAAGGATTATTATATCTAGAAGATACTAGAATCATGATGTGAAAAAAAATGTTAGAAATCTAAAAATCCTGCTAATAGAGCTGAAGAAGAATATTCCAAAATGCAGTATTGGATGAGAGACACACCCAGAGAAAGGTAGCAATTAAAAAAAAAAAGAGAAAAAAAAATAAATCATAGTTCTCTCATTCTGGTAACTTCAGGGAATTACACTGATTTCAGTTACCAGACATTGAAGTGCATAAAAATAAATATGAATAAATATATTGTAAGTAAAATATAGATATGTACAGATGACTAAAACTACCTAAACTGTTGATCAATAAAGCTAGCTGGAGTGAAAAACTGAAGTCAGTATTTGGCGGGTAAGTTGAGCTCTCTTTAATAAACCAGTCAAACAAGTCTTTTTCTTATCTAACCACAAGGGATACCAGAGGGAAGAGTCTGCTTGTCTACATCAGTCATGTAACTTTGGCACTGAAATCATACAGTTGCATAATTCAGACTTCCTGGAGATACATCTGCACAGATTTGCATAGATATTCTGTGTTCTGTCTGTCTATACTCGGAGCCTGCTCTCATCTGGAATCCTAGTAATCTAATTTTCATGAATTTGAGCTCTCAAGTTCCTCATCCTAAGAGTAGTTTATAAGCTCAAGTTTATGTTCCTCAGACTCTCAACATATAATGTAGAAGTTACTGTGCCTTATTTAGATGTTGTCTTGTTAGCTGATACCTTATGCTTCTTTAATGCACTCTGTGTGCTTTGAATCATGGGCCTTCCTACTGTTGCAGCACTGGTCCTGTCCTACCAAAGCTGAGTGCCTTATCCACTCTATTTCCAGAATCAGACTCTGTCTTGCTCTTTTTTTCACCTCATGTTACTTACATGCCTAACTGTAAGACTGCCCTATTTCAATCGCCTTCTTTCAAATAACCTTAAAGGCTTGTAGAAAACAACGTATGAGGATTGTCGAAGTTCTGAGAGTAGAACTCGGGAGTGATCTTGCTTCATTCCCAGCTCCATTCCTTCCTCATGTACAAAAAAACTGAATTATGCAAGCTCAACTTCTTTCAGATATGTTATACCTTAGAACATCTACAGAAGGGGCTGCAGCTTTTTATGTGATGGCTGGCTCCACGACTATAAGCAGAGAATTTTTTTCTCCACTTCTCAGTTTCTGGCGTCGATGCAGGAAAGACCTTGCTCAGCTAAATGGTGATTTGGAGAAAACTCCAGGAGCAAACTTGGCAACAAAGTTTTCAAGCTGACAAGCAGTTATTCTTTATTGCGGTGCCAGGAGACACGGGGGATAGCTCCTCCTAACGTGTGTCCCCGTATTGCTACACAAGCCATCCTTATATAGTCCCTTGGCATACATACATATTCATGAGGCTACATATGGATTACATAATTTTCCAGAAAGTTCCCCACATGCGTACAGAATTGTGGTGGTGGTCTCTGAGGGTCGTTTACTTCCTCCAACAATCTTCTTCACTTCTGGCAGCCTTTGGAGCATGCACAGTAGGTGCTTATACCAGCTTAATTGGTTTGTTAGCACCAGAGACATAATAATCCTCCTGTCCTCCTATTTATCAGTTAGTTTAACTGTAGCCCATCCTGGACACCTGCCATTCCCAGATACTCCTTATCCCTGTGTCCTGTTCTTCTAGACTGTTTTTCTTAAAACTATGTCAACTATAACAATTTATCTTGTACGAGAATTCTCAGTATGTTCTCTAGCTGTAGTCTACTTTTTTTCTGTGTATCATGCACCTCAGTAATTTTCCTCTGCTACTGTTACAAAGCCATCAAATTTAACATTACTTAAAACTGATTCTAAAGGTTTATATACTTCATTTTGTAATTTTGTGCTCCCCCTTGTCTCAATGGATGATTGTATCTGCCCCTTGCAACATTTAGTGTCTGGTGGCAGTATGTAATCTAAGCGATGATACCATCTAAAGCAAAATAGTGCATCCAGAAAGAATGAATGGAAATTGTTTCACTATATCAACCAAGTCTCATTCATTTTCATTGTACTTAGGAATGGCTGCCTTCTCACGAGTTGGTGTTTTCTTATTTTCTGCCTCTTCTGGGGGACTTCCTTCTGAAGAAATAACTTTTTCCAGACTCCTGAAGGAGAGAGGTTATGCAACTGCTTTAATAGGTAAAATTGCATACATATACAGAATTATTTTTCATTCATTCCAATCAAAAGAACATTAGCTTTCCATATAGGCTGTTAAGGATCTGCATTAAGCTTTTTTCCCCCACAACATAATGAATTTATTTTTCTGGCACAGAGCTGATCACATTCCCATGCATATGTGAAGCACTAATCAGGTAAGTATGTCTAATTCACTTCTGTAGTTATAGTCTCATCATGCAAGATACTGAAGAAACATGATGAACAAATTGAAAATTAGTCAAGCTCTTGGAAAGTTTTCAGTGCAAATAGGAGTTTGATTACAACAGAGGGACAATAAGGGATCAGTTGCAGGGTACAAGTCAGCATGGTGGTGGGATTCATTTTGCCAGTTTTCAAATATCCATAAAGTAGATGATGTAGTATGTGTACTAACCGACTGAATTCTCTTCTTAGTAATCAGACAAAAATGGGCATTTCTATGAAATCTCTCTCATCCTGTGGTAGATGTCTAATATAAAAATGTGTTTCTCTCTCATTATAAAAATAGTTCAGAGAGCTAGCTGCAGCATAAATATCCAGTGATGAGTAAAAGGAATACCATTAGATGAATAATAAATTGAATTGGAATTAATATCATAAAGGTATAACATTTAAATGATGTCTGGAGGCTTTTTCCTAATTTGGCCATGGACTTATTCCACACTGCTGACATTTTAGAATATTTTTGTGAAATACAACTTTTATTACATAATGTATTTCTGTCAAGGAATTGCCAGGAAATAGTTGTTTAGAGAACATCATACCGGAATATTACTATGTTAATTTAGATGATTGATGTACCTAATTTTACCCAATTTGATTTTCAGTTGTAATAGAAGCTTGCAATTTTGGAAGTAATTTTTGTTTAAAAAAATCAGTGTATTTAGTATGGCTAGCAATTCATACCACTGTTTAAAAATATCTGTATGATGTAGCTAGCCAATATTGATGTTTGTAATTAAAAATCCTACTTTGCAATTCCACAGTCTGAGAAAGTATAAACTACCTTGATGTTTTGACAGAGTCAAAAGATAAACCCAGAAAATCTTAGCAGAAGTATATTTAGTGCAGGTGTATTTGAATCATAGTGTAAAAAAGCCATTCATAATTTGTCATGTTCATCATGGAGTTAATTCCTATTGCTCCATATTCAATTAAAGATTGCAAAGAATCATTTTTCTGTTTGCAAAAAGCACTGTAATACAACTCATTTTCTGGGGCTGACCTAGTTAATGTTCTTTTTTTAACTACTTTCACTGCAACATGACAGCTTGCCACTTAGATCTCCAGAAGTTATCTCCATGATGCTTAATGAACAATTCTTCCAAGTGGCCTGAATGATAGCTGTGAAACCGTAAGATGTAATATTAACATATCCTTAGAGTATAATGAAGGCTTCTAAAAATCAAGAAGTACATTAAAATTACGGATAAAGCATGTGTAAATGACAAAAAGAAAAATTATGTAGATTTGAAGACTAGATAGGCAGACTCTGATTCCCAGCCAGGCCATTTTCTGTCTCTGCTGGCATTCTTATCACATCATATTTGGTCTAGGTCAGGGAGTCTTTGCTTGGTTCAGTCTAACTCAGCAGTTCCAAAACAATTAATTGTCAAATCCTGCACCACTGAAGGACTGGCTTAAGGGTAATTTGAAGCCTTTCAGTTCCTCAAGCCTGTACTGTCAGTTCCTTTTTTTTTTTTTTTTTTTATTAAGTTTCTCTCCCCTTTACTCTCTAAGGGCACTTTTTTCTTCCCTAAATGCATTTTCATTTCTTCTTTTTAATTTTCTCCATGTCTCTGCGTATATTCTTCCTCTTGCTTAGTACATCCTGAGATATATTTTAGCTATGAATCTATTTTATATATACTTTTTTTTTACCTCATTGTTTTTCCCCTGTGACACAAAAAAGGTGACATCCAATAGATCTGGCAGGAAGAGACACAGTCAGAAGATCTGTAGCAAAATCGAGTTTTCTCAAAAAAGGTAGATGCACTGCATATGTAATATTTCACCAGTTAAGGATCTCAGGGATTAGCAAGAACTGTTGATGTTTTATATGAAATGGCTATTTATATTGCAAAAATACTACTGAAAGTAGATGGATATTATTTTAACTACTACTATACTCAGTTACAGTTAGCTTTCCCTCACTACTGTTATCCAGTGTGTTGTCCAGCATCCAGAGAACTTTAAAATCCACCTATGTAGCTTGTCTCCAAAGCTTAAAATAATAATGTATAAGCTGAGACTTATATCTTTCCTCCAGAATGAGGTGTTGTAATATTGTAATACTGTGATGTGTCCAATACAAAATTGGCAGAGTCTATGGAGCACAATTAATAGAACAGCTTAAAAACTGACTATATTAACAATATATGCTTAATACTTATTATTGCTGTGTACTTCATGTATATATATTACTTTGAGCACATAAAATATTTCTTTTTGGATCTTGCTCTGCATCTTGCATCTTACCATTTATCTGAGGAGCAGAACTATATCATTATATACAACTCAGATTTCATAATGCTCCCCATTCAACTGTCTGAAGAAAAAGTAGAGGGGAAACATTGATTTTTTGCAGCTTCTCCTGCAGTCTGGGTTCTGAAAAACTGAGTTCCAAATGAAGTTTCTTGGCTGAATAGGACTTGCCCCTCCTTTCCATGTGCCTTTCATTGCATTGCTCTTGCTCTGCAGACGCCTTATTTGGGGCCAAAGGAGAAAAAAAAAAAATTCAAACTATTAAGGTACAAATAATTTACAATTAACAGCATAAATCTCACTCAAAATCTTGCTGTAATCTGCTGAAATGTGTATGATGCTCGTCTGAAGTGTCCATGCTATGAAGCTTCACTTGACAAGGAGGTGAGATAGTTTTGCACTGCCCTCAGATTCACAAGGGCCCCGGAGTGTAAAGCGCATTACAATAATCTGTTGAAACACTAGCTCAAGGCAGCAGTTATTGTCACAAGGAATGAAAGAAAACATGTATTGTGGGCCCAGTCATCACTTGCTTTTTCAGAGTAGCACAGCATCTATCAAAACCCTCTACCTTGTCAGCCATTTGAGAATGGCAATTGTGTTTTTCCATCACAGCTGCGGACATAATTTGAGCCAGTGCTTCTGTGCTTTTCCCAGCTAACCTGCCGTCTGCTTTGTTTGGCTTAAGTTGCTTCTCAACAAATCTTTTTTTGAGACCCAAGTTCATCCTGACATTGAACAATTTGTTGTGCTTGCTAAAACCCTTTTGAAATAACAGGTCCTATATTTTCCCCTGTCCTAATTTGTTGTTGCAAGATTCTTCTGTCCTAGCTTGCAGTGTCTACTTTTATTGAGATCTAGTTTAAACAAACATCTTTGTATCCTAATAAATGACTTTGAAAGTATGCTTAAGTTGATATGGTTTCTTTTTCTTATTTTTTACTGAATTATAAGTGATTTGAGATTAAGAAATAACAGTGAAAAAAAAAACAAACTTTCAGATCATTTATATTTGTGGTTATAAATCTCTAACTTTATTTCCATTACCTAACTTGATGAGAATTGTTACATCCTAACCTTGCTACATATCTGACTTTATAATTATTCTGTAAAGACAGTCATGTAAACCTAAGAGAAAAGACTGAATCATTTATTTTCTAAAATCAGTATCTTTGCTTGCTGGGAATGAAATTCAGAGTTGCAGCCTTGGCTAGCCCTTTATGGCACCATTCTAACATCTGAAAATTTGGTACAGTGGCCTGTATTTCTGGTTTTGTAATCAGTCACAAAAATGTTCACTGGACCACATCAAAAGTAGTGATGAGAGCCATTCTGCCCGCAGAAAGCAGATTTCCTCCTCAGGTGAGGAGGTATTCTGACAGTTAAGAGGGAAAATTTCTGATGGGATGAGAAAGCTATGAACACCTGCATTTCACTGGCACATAGGAGGACCTGAAAATGCTTTTATAGCTGCATCTGTAACCTGCTGAAGGCATTTCTAACCTAAGACCATCCAGAGATACACGAGGAGAAGTGGAGTCAATTAAACACTCAGGTTCAAGATTTCTGTTGTGTTTTAGTTCACCTTTGCTGTGAAAGGGAAATAATGACATTGATCCCATTTGCAAGGCACTATCTCAAAAAATCAGAACTGATCCCCATCTTCACCCCCTTTGGTACTGCAGTATCTGCATTTGTCTTTGCCAAAAGAAGAAGTGCAGGATCAATGTGCTGCTCTCTAGATCCCCAAGATGCTCAGGACTGCCTGCGTCAGGACTTCTTCTTACAGATGTATAAAAGCTGGGGTGGTGCAGGAGAGGGAAAAAATCTATTTGTCCTTTTTTCATTTTATGTACTTTCTACCACCTGTATCCTGAAGTCTCTAGAACAAAAGATTTCAAATGTCTTTGGGCTAGGTTATGGGGATGAGGACTTACTGGGTTTGTGGGGATTTTTGTTTATTTCTTTAAAGATCATGATCCCTAAAATATGTTGGTCATGTGTAGGTATTTGATTCAGAAAAAAATAAATAAAATTTGACCCAGCAGTACATACTGTCATCTGTTTTGTCAAGGCTGATATGTTTGTCAAATATTGAACATAATTCTTTGCTGAGACCAAAAAGCATATAGCTGTAGCCATCATTTATGTCAATAGGCTTAACTAAATTTGATTTTCTTTTTTAATTGTGCATTTGGATTTAATGCTACCAAACAGTTAGTCTGTGGGACTAAGTGACGCATAAGTATGTGATGGAGGGACGTACCTGAGTCATAGATTTAATTACCTAGATACTTGTCATTAGCATGAAATAGATTATGCTACTGTAATGCAAATCAGACTCTCCCTTTTCTTGTGTCAGTCAGTGTCTAACATTACTGCAGAAATACAATGATTTCCTAGTGAGACAAAATGCTGTGAAACATAGTATTTGGCAGTAATTTCCTTTTTACTATCGTTTCTTCTTTTATTTTCATATATATACACACCTATAGATATAAATATATATATAATATATATTTTATATATAAAATAATCTTCCTCACTATATATATATATGTATATTGTCCATTTCTGACACCTTGCAATCATTTAAATAATAAATTTCATTTTCACTATTCTTGTTTTTTCCCCTGTTTGTCTGTCACTGTTTTATTTTTTGTTGGTTTTTTTTTTAAACCTAGTTAAAGGTGAATGATTTGCCAGCAAAGTTTTGGAAAATATATTTCATTACTACATATTGGCTTTTCTTAAAAAAGCAGTAGCTGCCACAGTTTTCTTATGACTGCTTAACTATATATGTACAAGGGCTTAATTATTTCAAAGGGCTATGTTGCTCTTTAGTGACCTGCTAGCCCACTCAGAATTTCTTGATTTCCACCAGAACCTGTGCCAAACTCACTAAAATGAAGAAGTAGACATGGAACAAAGTCTTTGATGAAGGCATGAAGAGAGATTAGATAAAAGATAGAAAATAGGGATCCTCACGATAAATGCTTGAGGGCAGGGAAAATATCACATAATGAGTTTCATGTTTGGAATAGGGAACATTATAAGTTTGATGATTTAACTACAAAAATGCTCCCTGTCCTTCTCTTTTTGTAGGAAAGTGGCATCTTGGGATGAACTGTGAAATAAGCAATGACTTCTGCCACCACCCCCTCAGTCATGGGTTTGATTACTTTTATGGGCTTACCGTGACCAACTTGAGAGATTGCAAACCTGGCCAAGGCAGCGTATTTTTAAAAGGGGTTCAGAAATCCCTTGTCATCCCACTCCAAATCACTGGAATCACCCTGGTCTCTTTGGCAGTAGTGCATTACATTGGTCTCCTCAGAGTACCTTTCCGAGCACTGGGTTACTGCTTTTTAATAGCCACCATTTCACTTGTGGTTTTGATTTTCTTCTTTTATCATTTTCGCCACTTGAATTGCTTTTTAATGAGAGACCATCAGATTATCCAGCAACCGCTCTCCTATGAGAACCTTACTCAGAGACTCACAAAGGAAGCTGTGCAGTTTATAGAAAGGTAGGTTTCTAATTGTGTTATAATTTAATGGTGGCATTTCACAATGATGGTGCTTCTGAAGATGTAGAAAAGGAAAAAGTGAGCTGGAGGGCATAAGGAGTATGTCATTACATATTATCAGCACTTTTTTCCTTCCAAAGTTGGCTGCAGTTAATCTTTTTAGTGAAAGTGACTGATTTTTTTTCTATTGGGTATATAATTATATCTATAAAAATTAAAAACTTTATGTTTACATGCTTCATAATTTTTTGCCAAAAAAACGTTTAACTTTTTTAGGACTTTCATTCTTGAGAATTTCATCTAACTTGAGATATGAAAAATCTTTCCTGATGTGACTTAATTATGTGAAAATACAATGCAGAGTCATAATCCATTACTTTTCTGGAATCGGAAACTGTTCATTATTGATTTGATGCATCCATTAAATGACATTCATAAGGCCAAGTTTTTAAGATACTGTCTTTTAGGTGCCTCACTTTTATGGCAGATTCATTTTAAGAAGATTTGATTTACAGAAGTTAGGAAATAAATGGGGTTTTGACAGCAATGGTTTTTCTAATAGCCATCACATTGGGCTACCTAAACATTGGATGTACAAAATCATCCTAAGTCATTCTTCATTTTTTAAATATTATCTACTGTGGTGTAATTATTACCACAGGTCTCTTAACAAGATCAAATCATAAAAGTATACAGTTATAGATTGTGAAATATAAATTCATAGAATCATAGAATAGTTAGGGTTGGAAAGGACCTTAAGATCATCTAGTTCCAACCCCCCTGCCATGTGCAGGGACACCTCACACCCAACCATATCACCCAAGGCTTCGTCCAACCTGGTCTTGAACACTGTCAGGGATAGAGCATTCACAACCTCCCTGGGCAACCTATTCCAGTGCCTCACCACCCTAACAGGAAAGAATTAAATTGATATATTTGGAGAAAAAATATTTCATCCATTTAAATTCTTGAAAAATATTCTAGAATGTTGGTCACTTTTTAAACAGGTTGCACCATTTCTAGAAATAGTTAATCAAAAGTAAAAATATGTTCTAAAATATATTCTGAGAAGTATGTACCAGGTTGTTACTGTGAATACATTTGCATAGTGTTATTGCTGAATGAAAACTTACACCAAAGAATTGGCGCCTATCTTTTCTAGACTTAGTGTGGTGTTCCTCAAGACTTTTAGCAAGAAAAAAAAAAGTTTATCTAAAATCTTGATCTCATACTGCAATTGTATGTCATTTCTATCTATATAGATATTTGATGTGGCCATCTGTAGTCGTCATACCAAATAAAATGTTTCTTATATCAAATTTCTTTAAGTGAGTAAGCCTTTCCAACAGCAACATTCTCATGAGTATTTATAAATAACCTAAAACATCTTTGTTTCCTCTTGGCAATGGTGATAAATATAAAGATGCCTTCCCATCTACGTTCTAACTAATTTAGCAGTGAAGTACTTTGTTTACTATAAACACACACCCCTTCAAAAATTGTTGAAAGGTTATTTGCTCAGTGACCAAGCATTTGGTGATTTCAAAAGACTCTTGAGTACATTAACTATATGCGGAATGATTCTTTCATGATTTACAAGTGTGCAGTGTGCCTGTAGTGATTCATAATGTTTTTGATATGTCTGAGTGTTGCATTGATTTCAATGCAATGACAATAAAATGGTAGCTCCAAAATAGGTGAGTTTAAGATTGGAAATCAATGCTAGAACACTACTAACTCATTTAAATGTATTACTATTCATAATGCGGACAATGTTATTGCATAGGTTAGTGTTTAGAGCTGGCAAAACAATTTCTCATCTAAGTCAGCATAGCTTTGTTGACGCAGCTGAAGGTAAGTGACTTTACATCGGGGGGCACTTGGCTTCAGTTCTCAGTGTAGTTCCTACACAAAAGAGATGTTAAATTGAAGTCAAGGTTAATATCACATATTCATAATTTACAATAAACTTTGTTACAGGAGCGCTGCAATTATAATGAGAATTATAACCCAAACAATTCAGAGTCAATGTTAAATTAAAGATTATCCATGCACATTAAGGTGTTGAGAAGCAATTAGGGCACTTGAGCAATCTTAATTGTGCCCTGTTCACATTGTATATGACCACAGCACTTGTTCCTGGGGATAAGAGTAATCAAATTAATATGGAGAAAAGAAGGGGACCTTATCACTCTGTGCAACTATCTGAAAGGAGGTTGTAGCAAATGGGTGTTGGTCTCTTCTCCCCAGTAAGCACAAGAGGAAATGGCCTTAATTTGCACCAGGAAGGGTTTACATTGGATATGAAGAAAAAAATCACCAAAAGGGTTGTCAAGAATTATAACAGGCTGCCCAGGGAAATGGGCAGCCTGTCACATTGCTGGAGGTAATTAAAAGAGATGTAAGTGTGGTACTTAGGGACATGGTTTAGTGATTGAGTTGACAGTGTTAAGTTTATGGTGGAACTTGATCTAGAAGGTCTTTTCCAACCTAAATGATTCTATGAGTCTGTATAATCGTTAGATTTTGTATTTTTAAAGTCTTCTATAATTTCTTCATAGCATGTAGCTACGTGCAGTTGTACTTAATTTGGTCTGGGTTTTTTTGAGAAGTGGTATTTTATTTGTTCTTCCTTAGTCTTGTGTATGTGTATTATCATTTTTCCTAGGTAAACTGAAAGAGAGTAAATACAACATTCAATGCTCAGAAATGGCACAGGAGAAGTATATATACAATTAAAAGTGTCAGATCAAAGTGTGAAAAAACAGATACTAATTTACTTGCTCACCCTAATTGTAAGTGGGCACGTCAGCTCAGTGTATTTAATTCTCACTACTTTTTCCCAAGAGCAAGTGTGTGTACATCTTGTAAACCTATTAGCACACTCTCTAGACATTACAGTATATTTGAAAGTCAAATGGATACTAATTATTCAATATGGTTGTCACTCAGACATCTTCGGCATATCTTTTAGTGACGTGCTGCACAGACAATCCAAATTTGGACAATTCCAGAGGTCCATTTCTAACATATCAGAAATTAACAACACAAAAGTACCACTCTATGATTCAGAATACTTCTCTGACAAATAATATAGGCGATCACAAATAATAATATTAAAAAAAAAATTCCAAATGAAATCTCACTTCTGGAAAGCAGCCTTTGCATGTAAATTTATATACGTTCAAAATCTATGTTGAAGATGAAGTTGAATGATTTTGATTCCTTTTTTTCAGTTGTAGATTGGATAGCTGTGATATTCAAAATTCTGTGATGACAGTCAATATTTTTTTCATTTTTCCTTTTATCCATTCTATTTCAGTCATTGAAGCACTGTTAGAGCATGCATTCTACTTTTTTTTTCATCTACTCTACCAGATTATGTTTTAGAGTTTTTCCATGTATAACTAGGTCTTAAGATACAGCAGTTAGCAAGTTGTACTGGAGTTAGAGTTCTGAAATCAAGTGTTTTTATGAATCCTACAAGAATATTCCTAATAGTTTACAGCTAATATAAATTGTAGAGAAGTATTTGTTTTTCTTTGTATACACATGATGCATATGTGCATGTATATTAGAAAAGGGTAGTAGTTTATAAGCCATAACAATTCTGCTGGATCTTCATCCCTTTTTCTCAGTTTTCTGCTTGTTCTTTTTGAGCAAAAAGCTAACAGGAAGAAGCTGTGAATTCGTATACTTTAGGGCCATCTGGAAATGAAAGATTTAAGTAATTTAAGAATTAAGGACCTAACTTGTTCTGTGATGAGTGACAGACTGCATTGGAAATGGAACACTTCTAAAAAGTAGTAGATCCATAAACCGGGCTCCAAGGCTTTGCAGGGGAAAGGGATTTAGTAATGAGTATAATTTTTAGTAAATGAGAAATTTCTTTCTTTTTTTTTATTTTACATGTTTAAGAGAATATACTCTTTGAAGGGAAAAAAAAGCTTATATAGAAGGGAGATAAAAACATATATGAATTACGTTTCTTAAGCATTTAAAGGAAGAAATATTCATGAAATTAGAGATGTCAAAAGTAACTTGTCTGTTTGCATGTTAGAATTGTTTCACTAATGTAGATATAGTAGTAACACATCCTACTTTTTTATGTCTTCTAGAAAGACTCAGGTTTTACAAGTTTCTACATTTTTTTCCCTTATTCCATTTTCAACACCTTTTTTGGTTTTGATAATTTACCTCTGAGTGATCTGGATTTCTCTTTTCAGATTAGGAACATTTTGAAAATATGAGATCTGTGTTTTAAGGTGTGTCATACATGTGAATTAGCTGGAATTTATAAGACTTTGGGGATTATGGAAACAATTGTTAACCCGGTGTTAACACAGCACAGCATTTGCCCAACACAGGGAAAGCCAAATATATCTGTTTTTATAGTCAGCTGTTGTGAATTGTAGTAGCTTCACTGATATAGGGGGTGTAATGGTCTAAAAAGTTAAAATTATCTATTTTATGACAGAATGTTAGGATAATTCATTAGAATGTTGGGATACTGTTAGGATAGTTAAAAAAATGTTCAGAAGGATCATATTTGTACATCATATTAAAGGCTAATTTAGAATTTATTGTGAAAAAGTAAATAGAATTGCCATTATGGCATATCCACATCTTGTTTCAAGTACCGAATCATACTTGAAATATCAATTTGATTTGCAAGTGCAGGAAAACAAATTCAGAGCCCCACCTGTTGCTCTACTGCAGTAGTCTTTGATTATTAGATTAACAGCAGTGAACAGAAAAGCAAACAAAATTACCTAAGGAGTTTTCAGTGCAGCAAGCATCTAGAGCAAAATTGCAGGAAAAAAGACCTGTTTGTGAAGCACAATGTCATATTGGTTGTACCTTGCTCTCTCACCCCTTTTAAAGCTGTGCTTTACAGCTCAAACCTGAGCTGAATCCTTAAGTAATGTAAAAGTACACGCTAAGAAAGAAGGACCTAGTACTCTACAATGCAGGGGAGTCGCCAGCAATGTGATGCTTTTAGGTGTTTTTGAGATCAGTTAAATGCACATGAAAGAATGTCTTATGTCACATATATGTAATCTCTCTGGGTACTGAGTAAATTGAAAAGACTGTGATTCATAATATAGTAAAAAAAAATTACTATATTTGAGTAAGTGAATCTCTGATCTCTTGAAACTGAAGTTCCCTGTGTTAGAACTGTGTAAAAGATAGTGGCAATACATTTTTGAAGGTGCTGTTTACTGAAGTGGTTCAGGAGTTAAGCCGTTATTGTCAAATTTCTCTCCTGCCTACTAGCTGATTGTTATTCCATTTTCAAGGTCACGGTAAAGGTAGACAGCTAGGATTCTTCTCAAAGAGTTTTGGCAGGAGATAAATAGCTGCCTGTGATCTTTTATAAGATATTAATAGGTAAGACACTTCTCCACCTGACAGCGAACTGTCAGTCAGATCCTGTCAATTTGAGTTGCAAAGAAGAGAATGATGAAGTGCCCTTCCATATCAATCCTTGATTAGATGGCTCTTCATGAAAGTTAGATCTTTGTGTCAGTTCCATTTTAAAAAAGAAAAGAAAACCAACAGCAACAAAACCCACAAAACCCCCACAAACCAAACCTGAATTATTATCTCTTGAAAATAACATTTACAATAGAGGCTTTAGAGACTCGTAGCAATGCAGGTATACATTTACAGTAATATGATATCTCTGTGATCACAGAACAAGGCAGTTGCATGGAAAGTAAATTGTGACTATGCCATTTTAAGTATAAAGTAAATTTTTGTGGTGTTTTACTCCAAACTTTGTATATTACTCTCAATTCAGTGAACTGTGCTTAAGGAAAAAATCAAAGATAATCCCATGCAGTAAAAAGTTGTAAACTGAGAATCAGCTGCCTTGGAGAAATGTTCTTTAGTGAAAGGTCAGTGTTACATTAATGTACATATTAAATATTAAACTTACTTATATTTCTTTTTACTTGAAGGGCTGATATTTCCAGTCTTCTTAATTGATTCAGAAGTCTCATTTATTGTTACAATAATGTAACATGTATGACCTCTCAAATATTAACACAACTTCATAGAAAGTGTATGTTTTATGAAAAATATTGCCATTTTGCTTTTTTTCTTTTTTGAATCTGTACTGTATAATAGTGAGACAATACAGGATATGTGCACAAATATTTGAAGGGAATTAATTTTGTTTCCATTTTCCACATGAAATTTGTTTATTCTGTCATTTACATATTTTTTTTTTTAAAGGGAAAATTTATATGAAAAAAAGTCCCAGTCAGAAACATCAAGTGAGTAATATGGATCAAATTTTCTGATTTTGTGCTTATGTACTGCTGTGTACGTAAGTAAAACAGAAAGCTTTTACCATGAAGCTTGTATAAAACCACGGAAAGAGGAAAAATGGATCATAAATATACTAAACTATATCTGCTTATTTTCCTGAAGAATAAACTGTTGACATCAGATTAATACCTTTTATTAAAAGACTTTGTTTTCAGGTTCTAAAGGTTAGAATTTTTTTTCTTTCCTTTTAAAGAAACAGTTTGTGTGTGCATGTCTGTATTGTTCCTTCCCTCTTTAAAGGGTGGATGAATCAACTCCATGTGGAAATATATAGTCTCCCTTCGATGTTGATGTGAATCACAGGTATTAGCCACCACAGACTGGCGAGAGAAAATATGGTAAATAAACCCAAAAGTACTCTGTAATTTACTATGTGCTTTAACGTGAGATACAGAAAAGTTTTCTGGGAAGTGCTTTTGTGATTCAACTGATATTTACAATATGCATAATGCACTACAAATGCTGTTAGAGCGTATAGCAGTAAATTTGGCTAGTGCCGCACAATTTTAAGCAAAGTTCTATAAATAATGCATAAGTAAAAGTTCCTACTTGAGCTGTGCTTTCGCAGCCTGCTGGAATTGATCATAAATATCATGTTGACAGATCACATGAAGAACAACACTTACAGAGTTTATTTACTGTACTGTTTTCTTTTGTATCAGTTCAGGATATAGACTGAAGATAATGGAGACTGTGAGAGGAAAAATCTTTGTATCAGTATGTACTTTGAGATTACATATTCTTTGGTGCAACATACTTACAGTGTTACGTACTGTTATTCATTTGAAAATACACAGAGAGAGCATTAAATGACAAGAGATTTAGTCACATACCTTAGTCCAGGATAAAGGAGGAGGAAAAGTACTAGTATTCTTGGTTTAACATAGTTATGATGTTATGGTATGTTTGACCCTGGTCGTCATACAGTCTAGTTATCAACTTCCAACTAGTTATGACTTTGTGAGGAAGGTAATTGTGTTTCTTGTATATATGCATGTATAGTTTGGAAGGTATGTTTTTAAACAGGAATTATGTTTGGGCTTTTAAGTATGTACTTGTGAAATGAAGAAAGGTGCTTGCAGCCAGAAACTGGCTTTAAACAACTCTTTCAATATATATAGCAAACAGCAATTAGTTCAGTTTTGTCATTTATTATTGCTTTCATTTCAGTGTTCAGCGTGTGTGCCTGTGTGTGTGTGTGTGTGTGTGTGTGTGTATGTGTGTGTTCAGGGTTACCTTGTAATCAGTCACAGTATTACTTTTCATCCTCTATTTTGTTGTTGTTGTTATTGTTTTGTTGGTGTGGTAGAAATTTTATTATAAAATATACTAAGTGTTTGGGCTTTGTTTTGTTTCTTTTTCTTTTCTGTTTTTCAGGAACACTGATGCACGGTTTCTTCTTGTCTTGTCTTATCTTCATGTCCATACTGCTCTATATGCTTCAAAAAATTTCAAAGGAAAGAGCAAGCATGGTTTATACGGGGATGCAGTGGAAGAAATGGACTGGAGTGTAGGTATGTTACATGTCCTTCTAATAGCAGTGGAGGGAATTCGTGGAAGACTTATATTCACCAAATACAGGCTTCTGTGGTTTGGATGACTACAGTATATATGAGATACTTGTCTTTTATACTTAGAGGAAAGAAACAGTTGTTTAAAAGGCACAATAATTTGACCTCTTGTAATATCTACTTTATGGCAAAATTTATTGTGTCCTACAAATGTCTGCTCTGTTCTTTGACTATGAATGTAGTAGCCTGTATAGTATAGTCTCAGCAGAGATACGGACACCATAAATGCAGACATTTGAAGCAGAATCGTTAAATCATAGAATCATAGAATGGTTAGGGTTGCAAGTCCAACTCCATGAGCTTCTGGGTGCTATTTGACTTCTGCATGTTGTCTTCATAAAACAATATACTAATTTGAAAAGTGACCACATTATATTGATACTAAAACATTTTCAAATACAGTGACTACAACATGCAGTGTTGCTAAAAGTAATTTGCTAATTATTTTAATGAGTTTTGTGAATTAGTGAAATCACTCAGGTGTGGTCCACTTCTGTTCATGAAGAACAGTCAACACCAGGCAATTTGCCCTTCAGAGCCTTCCATTCTCTTTGAGGCTGGAGAGCAGTTGTTCATTACATCTTTCAACAGGCTTTCTGTACAACAGTTCATATTTGAAAATAGATAGATTGGAGCATAGCAGCATTAGGAGCTAAAGATGACCTTGCATTCCTCCTTCCCATATACCTCAAGTCAATTCGTTCTCAGTACAGCTCAGTGCAAATTGGCTTTCTCCAAGAACATATTGCTTCCTTATTAAATTGCTATAAACAGATACTTAGTTTTGTTGCATACATATTTTTAAACTATGCAAGCATGTGCACTTAAACATCATGTAAATTTCTTTGCACATTTTGCATCAAGAATTCTAGTTGCAGAAGCTAAGGGACAAAAGGCAGCATAGCACATTTACTGATTTGTAATGTATTTAGTGCGCTGTTTGGAAAATGGGGAAAACCCTTGTGATACAGGAGGAAGGGTTTTCATGTGGCAGATAACAGAAAAAATCCCTCTTTTTCTGAATTAGGTTTTGTAAAGAGAGAGTGGCGTTCATTCCAGTTGTATCACAACTTGAATCATTATCACTTTCTTAGTGGCCACCAGCATTTGGTCAATCAAATGCTCATATTAGGTAAAAGTATGCATGTGTTGTCATTTGTTTGCATCTGCATTGTAGTAAGCTACTGAGCATTAGCTGGTCTTACAGTCTGTGATTGATTTTACTATTTGTTTTTCTGTTCTATGGTATTTAGCTTATTCCAACCTAATTGGTCATTTGCTGCTGCCATTATGTTTTTCTCCCTCCTCCAGGAGAGTGGCTCCGGGGCTTAAACAGCAAGTTGGAAACTAGGGCAGCTGAAATGCTGCTGGTTTTGGCTATTTAATGATGCAGAGGTGGTAACAGATTTTAAAACACTGCTCTCTTCCAGAATGACCACAGGCTCTTAGGAGATGTGTCAAATGAACCAGTTTTTGTAAGACAGAAGCATATTATTAAAAAAGCTTGGGATAAATCAGAGATACAAATTTAATGGTGCTAACAGGAATTTTAAACAAACTCAGAGGAGATAAATGAGTTTCCTCTTGTACTGTCCTTTACAATTCATTACAGGAGCATCAGGGGCAATAGAGCTAGCTTAATCAGGAAACAGATCCTCAGCTGTATACAGGCATCAAGTCTTGTTTCAGTTGGGGGTCTGGTTATGTCAGTTGGTTTTGCTTAAGTCTTGTCAGATTCCTCTGTTGACACATGGCATACTTGCTCCAGGAGGTAGAAAATGTATTTAGTTCCGTTCTTACTCTCTCCTCCAATATTAGAATGGTGAAAAACGTTATGGCTGGCATTTCCAAAGGAGTCTGAAGGAATAATATAACTTCTTTTCTTTTTTAATTTTTTTTTTTTTTTCATTTGAAGGGGAGTGCTTATTTTCATTAACCTCCACTGAAAATTCCAGTGCATCAGCTTTATCAGACAAAGTAGATTTATTCACACTATTGCTGATGTCAGTAGCCAGTACTTTCTTGAAATGCCTCTGAAGATGTAACAGTAGAAAAGTTAAACAAAATTTTCTGGAAAAGCTAAAACAGATAAAACTATAAGCTTTCCACAAAGGGAGGTTTTATTATCCACTAGACAGAAATTATTATTTATGCATAGATGAATGTAACTTGCAAAAGCAATAAGAACAAAGCAGCCCAGATGTAACAACATGATGCAAAACCTTATAATAAAAGACAACGCAAGCATAAGAAATAAAAATAAGTGTATGGAAAACTGTGTTATAGCACAATATCATAAATGTTTGGAAGGAAAAGAAACAAAAGCTTTTACTCAGTTCTGAAAGAGGCTTAAAATATGTTATCCAATGGTTAGAAAATGTAGAATCCCTTGTGGATGACTAAACCAAAAAAAGGTAGAAGTTACAAGTAGAAGTTAATACTGTCAGGTACCAGTGATGAAAAAGTTGTATCAAGATTGGACCATGAAATGCAAATGAAACATTGTTCCTGATTTGAGAGGTCTTCTAGAATCAGAAAAAGTACTTTAGTTGCCATTTGCAAGAGAAGAAGCAACAGTCTTTCTATTAAGACAGAGAGGTCCACAATGAATGAGAATTCTAAATAAAAACCAATTCTATTTTCATTTGTTTATTTATTGGGAATCAGTTACCAATTATTCAATTATAAGACAATCCCCATTCTAGGAAGGGAAAAACCTATAAGATGCATGAATAAAATACGGCTTTGAATATTTCATATTTGTGACTTATTGAACCAATACTGAAGGGTATGATTACAGTCCATATCAAAAATGAGGAATACAAAGTCTCTGGGTAAGCTTTGGGACCATATATGTGTACTGTGTTTGCATACTAATGTTTATATAACAGAATTTAATGTTTAAAGCATTTACAGTTATAGGGTCACTGCACGTGACATGCCTTAGAGAGTTATTCTCTGGCTAATAACATTAATTTTCTTTCAATGCAGGCTGAGCACCTTATTAATTCTATTAATAATAATTCATATGAGAGCAGATAAAATAATCCTACAGTCCAAAAATGGGAAAAGAAATGATGAATGTATGAATGAATTCAATATTACAATTTTCTTCCTTCCTTTCCTTCTTTCCTTCCTTCATTCCTTCATTCCTAATTGAGTATAGGAAGAGAAATGAATATGTTCAGAAATAGTTTTTGATGTGGATAGCATTACACTAATATAAAAAATATCACTACAAAGAGTTCTGGAGCCCCCTGTAGACTTACACACAAGCTGTGTGAAGACACACTCAACGTCACTTTTGCAAATGGTTGCTTATTGTTCTGCTAACAATAGAAAAACTACATATCGCTTCTTAGTCCTTCATAGAACAATCACAACTGAATGGCTTAAGTGTAAAAAAGTCTCACAAATGGTAGTCTGGCATATCCTTGTCTGGATATCTTTATTATCTAGATGCCTTACAACCTTCAAAATCTTAACTGTCTCTCTGCAATGATCTTCTGACCTGTCTTAAGATCAAGTTATGCCAAGAAAATATTACCATCATCTGATGTTAATAAATTAGAAGAGAACGAGCAAAAATAAATCCCAATGCATCTTGATTGTAACTGGTGTTTGAAATATTTTGAAAAGTTTGGTAGGGTTTTATACAAAGAGAGTAGTTCCGTATCTCCACAATAGAAGATGTATATGGAGCTCGTGAACAGTGTCCAGCAAAGGGTCGCAAAGATGATTAAGGGACTGAAGCATCTCTTCTATGAGGAAAAGCTGAGACAGCTGGGACTAGAGATCTGTTCATCCCAGAGAAGAGAAACCTGGGGTAGGATCTTATTAATGTGTATGAATGCTTGAAGGGAGGATGCAAAGAATATGGGGCCAGGCTCTTCTCGTTGATGCCAAACTGAAACACAGGAGGTTCCCTGAACATCAGGAAAACCTTTTTTACTCTGAGAGTGACCAGTCACTAGCACAGGTTGCCCAGAGAGGTGGTGGTGTCTCCCTTCTTGGAGATATTCAGAAGCCATCTGGGCATGGTCCTGGGCTTCAAGTGGCCCTGCTTGAGCAGGTTGTGTTGGAAAAAGTCTTATCCAGAGTTCCCTTCCAACCTCAACCATTCTGTGATCCTGTGAGATGCTAGAGAAAAGAAAAAAGCTGTTCACTGAATTCATACTTTGAAAGAAAATCAGACATAGCTATTAGAAGTCAGTCCAGAGTAACCAAGGAAATCGTCACTGAAGCAAACAGAATCAAGATACTCTTACGATACTCTTGTCCTCTACTCCACTCTGGTGAGACCCCACAAGCAGTACTGCATCCTGCTCTGCGGTCCCCAGCAGAAGAAAGACATTCACTTGTTTGAGCAGGTACAGAGGTGGGCCACGAAAACTGTCAGAGGGATGAAACAATTCTGCTCCAGGGACACCTTATTTCTGCCTTTAAGTATAGGGAGGGGTCTTATAAGAAAGATCTACAGAGTTGTTACCAAGGTCTGTGTTGACAGGACAAGGGGCAACAGTTTTAAACAGCAAGAGAATAGTTTTGGATTAGGAAGAATTCATCTACAATGAGAGTGGTGAGATCCTGGAACAGATTGCCCAGAGAAGTTGTGGATGCCCCATCCCTGGAAGTGTCCAAGGTCAGATTGGATGGGGCTTTGAGCAGCCTGGCCTACTGACAGAGGTACTTTCCCATGGCAGGGCAGTTGGACTAGATGATCTTTAAAGGTCCCTTCCAACCCAAACCATGCAGTGATTCTGTGTTACTACAGTAGTGACATTTTGAGGATACCAGTGATACCTTAAAAAGGTTTTACTTACAAGGAAATGCAGTACCTTACTTCTTTAAACTGAAAATATTTACATAATTAAGATCTTTGGTGTCTCAATAAATTTAACCTTACCTGAGGAACATTTATGACTTTTAAAAGCATTTGTGAT